TTCGTAATCGTTTTCGGGTTAAAATACAAATAGATACACCAGCGTCTTTGATAAAAGCCAAAACATAACAGTAATTGAATATTCTACTTTGTTTCAAAACAAATTTGTTGAGTTAAACAAGCAGGAACTGGATGAAACAGATGTTTCGTACAAACTTCGTGATACTACGTGATCTGCAGGTCCTAGACTATAGTTGATGTGCACGCACACATTTCAAAGGAAAATTAAAACGCTGGATGTAGCTATACACATTTAAGAAAATGTAAACGCTGGATGTACACACTCTAAGAAAATTTAGGCCTGTTTCAGACATTGAACTTTTCATGTGCCGAACCTAATGTTATAATGAGCTTTTAATAAGTTTTTGTTTAAGTTCATTTGCATTCGAATCGGCACATGAAAAGTTCGACGTCTGAAACAGGCCTTAAACGCTAAAACAAATTGGACAGTGAAGAGTTAATATACTGCCGAGTAAACATAAACGTAAACAAGGTCTTCTTTTGTATTTGTAATAACAGGATTGCAAATTTAACCTTTAATTAAGTGAAGACCGCTATATTAGACTGAAATTTTAAGTGAAGGCTGTTAGGATTGAAAATTTTTCGAAGAGAGGTGAAAAGCTGACACGAAAAGTTGAATAATCCATTTATCTAAATATTGACAAGCAACACAAGTTGAAATATGCACAGAACAATATTAAGTTTGAAAATCCAATATGGCGGATTATAATGTGTATGAACTATCAGAAATATTGTTCAATGAAATAATTAAAATCTGAGATACAATTGTGATATCCTGTTCTTAAACTCTAGATTATAATGAAAGATACAACAATAATTATACCCAGCCCAAATCATGGTGCGAAATAATTTGCCATCGTTGTTGGAAGCGAGTTCGCTTATCAAGCACCTGCCCTATACGCCATTGTTGTCATTGCAGAGCGAATACTTGACGTCTTAGCTTGTCGTATGAATTCACAAAACCTCATCCTTTCAGGTTCTACTCGATGTATTCCCAGTGTAAGATAAAATGTTGTTTAATAAAGACGTGAAATATCTTCAATCATATTACGAAACAAACTTCATACTAAGTATGCAAGCGAAGTAAACTAGAATCACACTTTGTAAAGGTTGGCAGATTCTTTGAATAAAGAAGTCAAACACCTCATACTATCTTTTCTTTTTTCTTTTGGCCTTTTGTTTCATGATGACATTAACGTTGATATAATCCTCATTTATTCTGCTAATCGACCAACCTGCACTACCCCTAACAATCGAAACACCTTTCTTATGTCTTTTTAAAGCACATTATATTTCATTACCTAATGACCAAAAACATGCAGTCAAAGACAGACATAGTCTTGCAAAAAGATGTTCTAGAAAACAAGCTGAAATCACGTGCTAAAGTATACTTGTTCTATCATTCTACTCATGTTCATGTATATTCAAACATGGAAAAGATGTAAACTGAATACGAAATTTCCTAAGTATAATTTCATTTGTTTTTTAACTGCACAAAAAATTCTAGTTTCATGTAAGAATCACAAGTCATGCTGTTAAAAATCTAATAAACACAGTTCATAAGATATATGAACGGTAAAGCCGTCTCAAAGTCAAACCATATAGTTCTTAATATATCCTGTCATGTCCCCTATAGAATTTGACATTTACCTTTTAAATACCACTACTGATATCAGAAACGATCACATCTACAATATTTTGTGAACTATACTGAATGTGACTACTGCTGAGAATAGTCAACTCTAAAAATTTAATAGTTACATATTTGCCACAACAATTTGCAATGCTCATCATTACGAGGCTTGCAACGTTCGTCATCAATCATTCCTGTTAAAATATGTCACACCAGGAGCTGGTTTGAAGTTTTTTGAGCCCAAACGTTCAATGAAATCAAAGAGCTCACAACTCAAAGAGGAGGGAATGAAATTAAAGTGCCTATATCACTTGTGGGATCTTTACGGATTTAAATAGAACTTGAAAAATTAGTTTATAAGTTCTAAAACCCTTTTTGATATTGTTAAATAATTTCGGAAATATTTACATCTAAACATGACGATTTCCTAAATTTCCGTCGTACTCGGGGGCCTGGGAATCAGGAACCGAGTTCTTGTCAAACATAATATAATCAATTGTAATTTTACTTCGATCTTCCAATAACGTAAAATATTTTGAGAAAAACTCGCCCAGTTGCTACAGCCATACACAACGCACCGTTCCCGCATTTTTTTCTTGAAAAGCGCAAACTATATCGCCAGTGAAACTCTTCATGTTTAACATTATAAAAGACGGCGTGTTTGCAAATCATTCCTGAGTCCCAGTCCCCCCAACCGACGTATTTTCGAAACTATTTAATTATATCAAAAAAGCTTGTAGAACTTATAAACTAATTTTTCGAGCTCTATTCAAATCCGTAAAGATCCCACAAGTGATATAGGCACTTTAAATGATCGACAATCTTTCTCAGTGAAGCATTTCGTGCCGCATTGTGCAACATTTTTAACATGAAATTCTTTAAAAACAAAACCCTCGAGCCTGTGATTCTCAACACGAGTTGTAGACATGCCAACGCAAGCTTAAGAGAAAATAACAGAACTATACGTTTAGCCTGGATTGGCGTATATAGATCCCTGATTTTCATATTTTTGGATTGTGAAAGAAATCCATTATAAAGCTCCACAAAATAAAACACTTTTGAGGCCGAAATCAGTGGCGGGAATTAGTGGCGGGAATTAGTGGCGGGAATCAGTGGCGGGAAAAACCTTTGGTTAAGAATTTAAAACTCAGGACAATATTACTGGTCAGTGGTTATCGGGTGCACAAAGGTACACTATACTACTAGTAAAAAGAGTCTCAGATTAGTACATACCAGCCTGAGAAGATGATGCAAAACTTGTTAGAAATAAAAAGCGAAATGTTTATATTATTTTGGGACGATGTAAAAAACAATATTGTGATCAACTGCGAAGATTTGCCCACTACTCGCTTCGTAGTGAACTGAACGCATCAAGGGACCACTAACGACTGATGAAACTGAACGTCAGAGACAGTTTTGGATCAAACAAGCCCAAGCGAATTGCGATTTCAAACAAGACCGTGTGGAGCTGAATTTGCAACCTGGCAAGGACGGTGTTCTGGAGTGCTGTGGTCGAATACAGGGAGTGTATCCTATTTACTTACCAGTCCGACACACGCTCACTCTCAAAGCGCACCTGGTAACACTGCACGGTGGAGTCGGGCTAACTATGACTAAAGTTCGCAACCGTTGCTGGGTACCAAGATTAAGAAGATTGGTGAGAAAAGTACGAAAAGGCTGTCACGGGCCGGGTGCAAGAGATTCACAGCAACTGCTTATGCGACCTCGCCACCAGGGCTCTTACCAACAGCACGAACTCAAGGAATTACCCCTTACCATGCAAGTAATAGGAGTGGACAACGAAAATTTTTCTTTAGTGTATAAAAGTCTTGAATTATCTCATAAGTAACTTATCTCATTTACTTATCTCGATTCAAATTACAAACTTAAGTAAACTCATCAAAGGAAAGCGACCCATGCATGCAACTTAAGCAGAAAATTTGTGTCTTCATGCATGCAAAACATTTTGTTATACATCCTAATATTTCGTGCATGAATATAACTCTTTTTGATCCAAGTCCCCCACCCTTGCCTTCGCGCACGAACAATGAAGACAACTTAAAACTTTTATGTCAGTACTAAGGGTGTTTCGTATCTTTCGTTTTGCCTTTGGAAATGAAAATATATTTTAATATCTAGCCTTGAAGGAGCGGATCGGCTGAAAGCTAAAACACAACAGTATTAGAGTATTCTATTTCTTTCTCGAAACTATTTTATTAACTTAAGCAAGCAGGAACAAGGAATCAGCAGATGTTTCAGACAAACGCGTCAAAGATAAAATATAAACAACAAAATATATGAACTAAGAGGCTCGTGTAGAAAAGCAATTCTCCTTAATATTAACAACTGTCCAGCTATTCTTGTGCGACACGACAAATATTTCTGCTCGCTCACGCATTTCACGATGTTACGTAGGTATGATTCAGCTGGTTTGGTCATAGTTTACTGGATGTATACACACATTTAATAAAATTTAAACGTTTAAACAAATTAGACAGTGAAGAGTCAATATACCGCAGAGTTAACATACTGGGTCACGCCCAAGGTCTTGTTTTGTAACAACAGGATTGCAAATTTAACCTTTGTATTTCATTAACTATATTAAACTAAAAGACATGCAGTCAAAAACAGACATAGTCTTGTAAAAACATGCTCTAGAAAACAAGCTGAAATCACTTGCTTAAGTAGACATGCAGGTTCTATCATTCTACTCGTGTTTATATATATTCTAACTTAGTATAATCTCCTTTGTTTTTGAACTGTACAAGAGATTAGTTCCCTGTAAGAATCACAAGTCGTACTGTTAAACATATCAAACTCTCGCTATACAAATAGTCTATAATTATCGCGTTACAAGCGAGGATACCCCCAACAGTGCGCAATACAAACTCGTCCAAAATAATAAGCGCTTTTTCTGTTCGTGTGCCTTTAGACCTATGCCGCACATTCTTTATTGTTTTTGGTAAAGATTCGTTGTATCCCGGAGTCGGACTTTGGGGTTTGAATGTTTCGGGCTATATAAGAATATTGGTCAAAAATCGCCGTTTAGAGCGAAAGTTGCGGGAAAACTCCTCGTACTGCTACCACTATCGACATGTTTTGGCGGGTATTTTGATATGAATTTCGTATATATTCAACGTGAATTAGCTTCGGACCGATGGCCATGAACTGTAGGTATTTTGCGACATTGGCATGATTATTTTGTTCACACATTAATGCAGTCTCTGCTGTTGGTGATGCGAACACAATCAGAATGGAGACCCGCCGTTTACTTACGAGATAAGCAGGCAAAAGGATTTTATATTTTCACCTTCTATGCTTTAATATCGTACTGTTTAATACCACAGTTGTGTATATTTTGGCAAATTTTAAGCCAGACAAATGCTGTCTATACTGTAAATACCGTCGGCAATAGCCTACACCGCTACAGCTAGTACATATTAATGATTTTCTTATTGATATATTGTGTATATAATATTCTGGAATAGGGGACATTAATTTCGTTCACATCTGCTACCTATGAGTATAAGGGCGAATTTTAATCAAAAGGTTTTATTGTTATTATCGGCTCTATCGTGATGTATCGTCTATATTGACGCGGCGGCCAAAACACGAGGCTTTTCATGCTGAAGAAACGGGAAATATATTATCTTTGCCATAGGGTCGCCATTCATCAAAACGCGAATCGTATCCTTTAATTAAAATGGGTACAACACATTTATTTTTAAATCAACCTCTTTAATCTCAACCTCGTAGAGGTTATCGTTTTTCGCCTCCCGTTTAAATGATTTTTTTTTCCACATCGAACCGCGAATTCGTTGACAAAACGTCGAGGTTTACATAATGCGCGCTTTTGTCTAGACACCATATTGTTTTACAAGGCGTTTTGTAACAGAAAAAACTGGACACTAGTTTGATGAGCAAATGTTCATCTCAATAGGGAAAGAGTTTGATGTGTAATAGACCTTTTGCATTATAGACTACTTTTTTATCCATGCAAGGAAATGCAATCAAGTCACCACAGCTGAAAAGAGCGTACTGAAATTAGTAGAAATGCAAAGTTTGGTTGCGAAATGTTGCAAAATACTTTCAGGCCAAAAATGGTAACAATTTCCGTTTGTCGTAAAAGGTATACAAATTTGCAAACTTTGCAACGCTATACTATATTTTCCGTATTTTACAACATTTCGCAATCAAACTTTGCATTGCATTTCCTTGCATAGATCAAAAAGTAGGCTGTAATGCAAAAGGTCTGTTAGTTTGCGAAAAAAATAGAACCGCTCCCGACTTTTTTAAGAAGTTCGCGCGAATAAATTCGCCTAGTGCAAAATGGCCTTAAAGAATGCTGCCACTGACCCATTTCTACAAGTTCAGCGTAGCACTGCGTACCAACTACCAAGTAGTTTTTGATATAGATTCGTTCAATTCGTTAATTGGTTCAAGTGAAAGAGACTTTCTACACCGCTGGTTACTGGTACAGTTAGAGTTTGGTGTATTATTCGATATCGGTGTGAATCCCTTGTGTAGCGGAGTCCAATTATTAAATGATAAATCTGCCAGACAAGATCTGATCGGCGTACTCAAGAACTCTGCTTCACAATCACCTTGCGTGGGAGGAGTAAAACCCGAGCTAAAACAAACCGGCGACCGGAGAGGTGAAATTCCAGGACTGCCAAAGCAACTTCGGAGGAATTCAAACGAGCGATTGCGTCCCAAGGGCGAAGCTCCAGGAGCGCCAAAGATGTTGGCAAAGTCGTCCACTCTTCCGTTTGGAGAACGCGGTGTGCGATCATTGCTACAGTTAATTTCAGCCAAAGTCGATTGTGCAGCGTTTTTGAGCGGGGTTTGCATTTTCGGTGTTATTTTTTCAGGTGATTTTGCACGGAACATTTCATCACGTCGTAATATGTTGGGAACTGGCTTCGAGAATTTCGACTCGTCTAATTGTTCTTTCAACGACGTTTCCTTAGGATCATTACGACTTCTACTTTTGCGTCTACTTTTACATTTAGCTGGTGTTTTTGAAGAAACTTTGGTTTCAACAGCTTCGGAGGTGGTTTTTCTTAAAGATCCACCTTCACAGGCACCGTTATTTAGTTCATCTACATTTTCAACAGACTGAGAAAATGACATTGGATTTTGACTTCCACTGTCAATTTCTACAGTTTCTGATTGCAGGGTATGAATTTTCGATTCTTGCTTGTCAGGTGATTTTATGCGGAACTTTTTATTACGCCGTAATATATTGGGGACTCGCTTTAACGATTTTGGTATATTTGATTGTTCTTTTAACGACGTTTCTTTAGGTTCACAACTTGTAGATTTGCGTCTTCTTTTACCATTTGTTGGTGTTTTTGAAGAAACTTTGGTTGGGATGGCCTCGGAGGCGGTTTCTTTCAAAGATCCATCGTCAGAGACACCGACATTCAGTTCATCAGCGCTTTCAGCAGGCTGAGAAAATGACATTGGATACTGACTTCCACTGTCAATCACTACAGTTTCTGACTTGGCAAAGGTGTGGACGGGACCTTGTTGGGACGAGTTTACATAACAATTCTGCGCAACGTCATGAGTGGATTTTACATTCAAAGAGTGAAACATCTGGTTTTCACTCTCGGTGGTGCTCGGTACTAGGACGATAGGTACGCTAAAGTCGAGCATGGGAACGTACTGTAATTTTGCTGCGTCCAGACAAGGCTTTGGTAAAATGTGTCGTAGCTTGCTGTTGGGGTCATGTGGGAGGAACATCATCGGTGGTCGAAGGTTGCTAGCGGATGGCTTCAAAATATCACGTAACAGGTTTTCCTTGCCCTCGGGCGAGATTCGCCAGAAGCTTCCTTTGCCGTAAAGGACGTCAGCACGTTGCTCTTTGATAAAAAATTTGTGAAGAGACAAATTGTGCCGAATGGAGTTCTAAAAAGAAGAAGAAAACAAGTATAACATATATTAATGTAAACGACTGTTGAGATCCCAGATGAGAGCTATTATATAGGCTGCGGAGAGAGAAACTGGAATAATTTTCATGCGAGGCGCAATAAACAACAACAAACGGACTATGAAATGTAAAAAAATTATCAAAATGGACTGCATCCAGACCTTCATTTGGTATATGCTTTATATACTGTATATACTACCACGCGTAAAAATCATCATTTTGATGCAAGTTGTTCAAAACAGGAGTGATCGAACAATGTTGTGCTACTCCCTGGGAACAGTATTGTTATCAATGTTGTTGAAGCTTGTTGAATCATCAATGTTGATGCAAATTACAACAACATTGCATCAACCTGATCAATTTTTGGCCGTGTAGCTAGTACGTACGTCAAAAAGGTCAGCATCACGTACGTATAAGAAGACTGATAAAGCGTAAAATTATCTGGTTCGTAAAACATGCGCGCTAAGCACAATCTCTATGCTACGTAGCTAAGAACCACAGTAAATTAAGACACGTGTCTGAAGTGCCTGTTCTTGGGCACCGTGTCAAATTTCTTATTTTAAAGCGTGATCGGCGATCGTGTTCAGGAGTACAGTTGGAGTATTTTTACTTACTTTCCAGCCTTTCTTTGCATGTTTGTAAAAAGGAAATTTGTCCTCAATCCAAGCATAAATTTGCTGCAAGGTCATTCGTTTGTCCTTCGCACTATTAATTGCTAACACAATCAGAGAAGCATACGAATACTGAGGTTTGGGATATGGATTATTGTTTTCAATAGGGCGGTTGATTGAACTGGAAGCCGCAGGCTCGGGTTTCTTATACGACTTGGTTTCCACGAGGTTGTCTGATTCCAGTTGACAAAGCCATTGAATACTGGTCAAACTGTCATCCAAAGATCCTTTTCCCGTTGTCTACAATGTATAAAAATGGATCACCTAAGTTTCCTGAAGAATTTCACTCAAATAAGTATATTTATAGTCTGTGCCAAACCTGTTATAAAATAAAAGGTCATGGGCAGACCGTGTCGGCTCTTTTATATAGCGTTTCTTATTCACTTTCACACTAATAGATTCAGACTTCATTGAGTATGAAAATAGCCGGGCATCCGACGTACAAAATGTGGAATAACTTCGCTAGTACTTTCTCAGCTAGCCTAAAGCTGCAGATTTGCAGGGCTTCGACCCAAAATACTACAGGGAGGGAATATAGTAGTCCTCTTTCAAAAATATTGTACTATAGTACATGCATGTACTTTTACTACAAATACATTACTAGTACTTGTAGTAAAAATAATTTCTATTTCAAAAAACGTTTATTATGGGGGTACTGCTTTATCTATAATTATAATATATAGTGCAGGTATACCTATAATGCAGTCATTGCAGTGTGAATAACTGTGAAAAATCACACCCTTAAGGAAATTGATCAGGTCTCAGTGCTGGTTAAAGGCCCTGTCCCGTACACGGTTGCAATTTTATGGCAATTTTATGCGTGGAATAAAATTCTACTTTTGAGAGATGTAAATTTGGCAATAACGAACTTCTGTACAAATTGGAAGAAAAATTGTGTAGCACGTCAAGTCGTCAACCTACAATTTTCAAAAATTTTTTGAAGGATCATGCAGTTATAGTGTCTGTCCAGCCAGCATATTATATACGACACTGCTTTATATATCCTCCCAGAAAAATTTTAAAGAATTTGTGAAGGCCATGGCCACATGGTACAGGTTTACCGCCAGTAGTGAAGGAAACGGCCCACACTATCTCGTAATATAGCATTTTCATTATCGTGAGACTATAGGACTATAAATGCAAGATGTAGTTTAGCGTTGGCTGGACGGGATTGTCATTCAAATAAAGCCTTCATTATTTTAAACATTCGAGCCCGACAAGGACTCACTTCTTCTCATTGGATGCATTATGAATATTGGTAGGTTTACATAATTACGGAAAATTCACAAAAATTTTCATAGCGAAGAAGATTCGCGATGTTCATGCATTCTCAAGTTATTTCAGAACTTTTCTTGAAATCAGAAAATATAACAAAATAACAGGTTGTAACAAAATAGGGCATAAAGCAGAAATGATCTATTATGGCCATGTATCATGATTTTAATGATCAAATATTCTTCTAGTGGCACAACCATATTAACTTGATGAATATCAAAGCCATCAAAGTGCGCAATCAAATTGCTGAGCCACATCTTCACTGAAGGCTGAAGCTGAGATGCATGACAGAATCCTATGTGACAGAGTCCAGCAAGCAACATTTGGTTGCCAAAACAGTCAATAAATTGTTTGGTAAGAAGTTATATTATGCTGATCAATGCATGTCCAATAAATTTACCTAAATTCATGGCAAGGTCTTAGACGCAGAGTAAAATATATGCATACAGCATACAATGTTTTATAAGACAATATTTTTTTTCCATTTAGATGTACTCATGCAATATCAAGTTTGGCGAGGACAGGGTACAAAAGTCACAATCACACCAAGAATACCAAGTGATCATAGATGCTTTACATAGGCAGAAATATGAAGAAAGAAAAATGGAGGAAACATGAAGAGATGTAAAAAACACCATAGTGATAAAACAGAACAGTAACAAAACAATACTTTGATATAAAGTTTTTGCATGCCCTTAATGTAACCAAACGTTAATAAAGTTTTTTTACTGCAACAGAGTGTATCTATGTTTTTTCCCTAATCAATCTAGATCTTGCCATGGTTTTGCAGGATCTTGCCATGGTTTTGCAAGATCTTGCCAAGATGTTTCAGGATCATGGAAAGGTTTTGCAAGATCTTGCCAAGACATTCCAAGATCATAAAGGTTATGCAAGATCTTGCCAAGATGTTTCAAGATCATGGAAAGGTTTAGAAAGATCTTGCCAAGATGTTCCAAGATCATGGAAAGGTTTTGCAAGATCTTGCCAAGATGTTCCAAGATCATGGAAGATCATGACAAGATCATGGCAAAAATCTTGCAGGATCCTGCAAGATCATGGCAAGATCCTGTAAGATCTTGGGAAAATCTTGACATGATCTTGCAGGATTTTTGTAAGATCTTGGAAAGATCTTGGCAGGATCTTGTGTAAGATCTTGCAAAGATCTTGTTAAGATCTTGCCAAGATTGTCAACCTGGGCATCCAAATGGCATGCAATTGCATAATCACAGACACAGTGGTACAAAATTACATGACCTATAACCATATGCTATATACCAGTATATGTATAATTTTTTAAATTTCTTTGCTGGGGGAATATGTATAGCATGCACATGAGCGGCCAAAAACATTTTTTTTCAGCTCAGCTAGCTGGGCCCCCTAAAATTCTCTGTGTGTTCCTATATAGTACCAAATTGTACCATGCAGTCTCAGTGCTCCCAATATATGCATGTTGATCAAACTACGGAACCACATGAGCATGCAGGTAAATTCATGCAGAAACGTCTTTGAATTAAGATCTGAATTATTAACATGCATGCATGCATATCTAAAAGTTGGGTAAATTGCATCAATATGGCAAAACGACATAAATATAAAAACATAAATATAAAAACATATTTGACATCGATTCATGAGCTAATATATATGAAGAACTAATATTTTGCAATGATTTTATATAAGCTTATAGGGAATCTGAGCATTATTAAATTAATTTGAAAGTGGGTATTCATGCTGAACTACCTTTTAAAATACCGTAAACAAAAATATTTTCTATCATGTATAACATTAATACAGGCCACTGACTTGCCCAATTTGATTTCTTATTGCACTGAAACAGCAGTAATCATATAACAAAATATCAGCAATTAAACCATCAATTCTGATAAACATCTGTTCTTAAACCTTAGGGTCTCAAAAAATTTTAATGAGGTCATAATAAATAACCCATGCAGGCTTCATTGATTGTATGTCTTGGCCATTACATAGAAAAGTGATTCAAAACGCCAGTATAGATCTACATATCTGTTTGAAGTTATACTTGAATAAATATATGTACATATAGACTATCCATGATAATACTATTATGGTATTATAAATATCAATATAAAATATATCGAACGCTGGGTTGCCATATAATTAAATTAATTCAAAATAGTCTGGTGTGAGTATAACTATATATAGAAATATCGACGTCGCGTTTTAAGCGAAGTCTTATATCCAGACGGAGTCTTTATTTACATACAAACGTCGAGAACCTACAATCTCAATATGAACCTTTTGGGCAAATCGATCTAAATCACACCATTCTATGTCTTCTATTAATTCAATATGTCCATTAAATTATTATGAATCGTACAGTCTCCCTGCTGTAACAAACCAGCAGTTCACTCACCTTTTCGTCCATATTCGATGTACCGATATTATACTATTCAGTAGGAAGTAGAAAAAACTCAAAATATAACCAAAAACTCGTATAATTTCTCGCTGCTATCTAAACAAATAGTACACCAACTTTTAAAATTACCTTTACCGTTTATTAAAATTCAAATTTAAAGCTTTGAAATTTTGACCAATCAGATGCCGCATCTGAGCGATTGTGACCTTTGACTTTCAGGTTGGATCTTCAGTGGGCTGGGTTGCCTGGATGCAGGTTGTATTTTGACAGGGTCATACCACTGAGCTATATAGATATCATACATCATCCAAAATGGATCGAAGAAATAAAATAATATGGGGTTTACTTACGTTCTTGATCGTGTTTGAAGGCCGTCAATTCGTCTCACCGACCATACATACTATATTTAACACCAGTGACACATCACTTCCGAAAGAGAGGATTTTTAAAACCGTATCAGAGACGAAAGGTATTTGTGTTTTAAATATATGCAATTCAATACTTCCTTGACCAACTTGTATTCAATATACATGTCAAAACAGTTTTATGGATAATAATTGTGCAAGCGGACTGGTTGCATTACCTGGTTTGGACATCTTTTAAATTGTTAAGGAGTCACGTATTTCATATATACGTAAACATTTTGGCCAAACAAATAATTATGTATTAGGTACAATATTATACTTAAAGCAGTCAATAAACAATATCCCCATGCAGATGAGCTATGATCACCTGATTCATCTGTTTTAAAATTCGCTAAAAGAACAGTTTATGATGAAAGTAAACATTCTGTCTCCTGTGTTATATTGTAATAATTGCATCTCGTGGCCTAGCTATTTATATAAAATAAATGCAGTGCACCACAGCTAGTATATGCATGATCTAGCTTGGTTCCAGTTGAGACTGCAGTATAATATGGGCTAGAGGAGAGATTGAGTATGTTTCTTATTGCAAATTAATGGAAACCTGATGTCTTGAGTTCGTTTGACCTACAATATACCTATTGAAATTGTCATTTTATTTTGCAATATAATTATATACTTTTCAAGATAAAAAGCATATAAATTCAGAGGTTTAATTAATTGCTACATTTAATCAACGTAGGTTTTTGTTAGCGCATGCGTGGGATTGTCAAAAGCAAATACACAACTCTCATTTTCTTTGATCCTGGTCTAATAAAATAATATGGAATATTGTAAATGTAAAATGATTTTTCAAATATGACATAATATTAAAATAGATAATAATGACTAAATGACCAAGCATATATAATATATGTACAGTATGTAAAAAAATCTGATTACTGCATCCTCATATCTTGTTTTAACAAGATTTAACACATATCAGCCTTTCTCACAATGAAGTTTTTGGGGTACTTTCAATTTTCTCAAATGGGTTTAAAAAATTATAACAGCATGGAAATTAGCATTATTTTTAGAAATAATAGACCATTTAAAGAATAAATTCAGCCTAAATTTAAAGATAGTCCCAGCTAGGTCTTACGCTCATGGTTTTGAAAAAAAGTACCCCAAAAGTGGCAGCGTTAGAAAGGCTAATTGCAGCCATGAACATGATTGTTATAAAGCGTAGTTGAAATGAAATTATGTGACAATACCAGAAAATGGAAATCTAGACTTAATAACATGTCACAGTGATCAATAATAAGCCTCTCTATATGGTTATTGTACATTAGTACATATATGGATTTAGAGTCAACATAAACTAGCTTGCACTGTAATCTATGACATCACATGAAACCTAAAATGAGAAGGTCACCAAACTGTCAATAAAATCTTAATATGGCTTCCAATTTCTAGGCTTCGTCTTACGAATTTCAGGCAAATTAGCCACAAATTGTAAGATTTCAGTGTGTTCTTGTTGATTTACAGGTTACTGCAGAACTTTAATAATCTCAGCTTTTCTTTCTTTTAGATGTTATCCATCTTGGTGATGAACCTAAGATTATAGACCTCAAAGAAAAGACATTGCTTATTTATTCCATTAACTCTTCAGCTAATTTAAGTTTTCTGGTTGTGCAAGCACATACCCAGTACCAAAGTCTTTCTCTTTCTCTTTCAACACGTGATGGCCTGCAAACGAACACTAATTCTGACACAGCTGTATTGAAAATCATCTCATACCCCTGGGGAATTTATACCACGAATGTAATCTCCTACCACCAGAATGGAACAGACTACGTTCTCAGACCTCCAAATGCTACAAAAGTAAAGACCTTGGTTGCTGGTGTATCCTCAGTTGGTAGAGGTACGGGCCTCATACTTTTTAATGGGATAGTTACAAATATATGAATCTCGATCAGTACGGACAGATTACGGGTATTTATAGTGTTTAAGAAGTCTCTGTTTATATCACTTATTTACATCTGCCAAGCACGGGAAATGTAATTTCACCGCTTTACTTTGAACTAAATAATCTACTGCAATTCAAATGCGCCCGGTTTGACAATTTCGGCTGCATGCTCAGAGGAAACGTTTCAAAGGTTCAAAACCATGTGTTGTACAGTTAACTAAGACTTAGTATAGGTAATAGCATATGGTTTCGAGTGCAATTTGGAATAAACATGCACGAGTGAGTCTTTCGAAGACCTCAAAAAGAACGAGTCAGAAGGACGAGATGCTGCTGACTAGTGGCATTGGGTGCTCGGATCGTAAAATATCGGCAAAGCACGACGCGTTTGAAACCAACGTCGAACTTTTTTCGAGCTTCGTCGATATTGCTAAGCTATTGCACTTATGGGGACAAATACTGCCCCAGCCAAGATATTACTAGAGATGCCAGACGCCATTTTCGGGAGTTGACGACATAATTTCGTGAATGTCAGTCTAGCTAAATTAATAGTTTAATTGAAATAGACTTGAATGGAAGTCTGCTTATACAGGACTAACATTTAGCTAATAATATTTTAAATCCATTCAAAATAATGACAAGAAAGAGACTCGCTCAATCGGGTAAGCGAGGTAAAACATTCTCTTGCCCGCATCCTGGGGCCGGTTGTATGAAAGCCAGATAGCGCTATCCACCGGATAGTGATTTTTTCAACCGTTTTAAAAATGCTCGAAAAGCGATAAAATTTCATTTTTGGAACCAGCAATTATTAAAGAGGATACTCGATTTAGGAATACTAAGATTCAATCAAAGTTATAACAAACAACGGGCGATATTAAAGCGATTGAAAAAACCACTATCCGGTGGATAGCGCTATTCGGCTTTCATACAACCGACCCCTGATATTTATACTTGCCACAGGTAAAACGCTTTCTATTTTTTTCCAGCTCCAATACCAGGGGGATGCTGCCTTACTTGCAGTCTTTCGATAGATCCCAACCTTTTTATAAACAGTAGACGCTACTACAAGACTGTTTTATCGTTTTCTTTGGCGAACGTCTATGATTACCATACGTCGGACTGCAGCGGTGAGCCTATTTCCGAACCAAAACACTATCGGTTGAAGTATTCCATTTACCAGTATTTTCTGGAGGAAGGAAATCTGGATGATGACGAGTTATTTGATGGCATTTCAAAAATGTTGACGTATTCAAAAGTTAAGGAAAACGGAGACAAGGTACACTGAATATAATCGTAGTTTTCGTGTGTCGCCTATGACGATGTATCGTTGGGTCGCCTATGACGATGAAAATTTATACAAACCAACAAAGCACTTTATTCTCCGTGATCACCGGCGACTTTCGGTGACATGTGAGAAACTTGCTTTAATATGGAGCTATGGTTAACATCGACAGTTGGTGTCGATGGTAAAAAAACGCAACCTTAATAATTGCCAGGCGCCTGGCTACGATCTTTGACTACTATTACAATAATAGTCGACTTCCAATGAAATCATAGCTCAACCGACCAAGCTGAGTATTTGTAGTGTTATGCAGTAAAACTTTATAAAATTCGCTTGTGTGCATGTAACCCATGGCAAAGGTTTAACAACAATGAGATAGTTCCTATACGCAGTCTCACTTTTCGGGACTACTTCTGCAACGCGAGCACTAAAAGGATGATTGATTTCTAAAGTTTGAATTAAAGTTTAAAATATCGGTAACCTCTTAGGAATTTGTACCAATATATAATAATGAGATGATAATGAAGCTTAATGAGGTTTATCATCTGAATGATCTGATTATCTATTGTTTGAATTGCATTCGACGCGAAGATAATGCGACGTATAACTTAGGCCTTATTTTAATTAAGTTAGCTGTGTACACCTGTACCCCAGTTGAACAATCATGTTGACATGTCCATCTTATTCACACCATTTTAAGTTGTGAATTTTGGGTATTCAGATGGCGGCTAAGCTACACACGTGAAGATTGGAAAAACTTAAAGTTGTGTGAAAACAATCTTGCCCCCCCCCCGGCTTTTTCCCAATTTTCACTCGTGTTGATATAACTATAATACAATATTAACACGGAAATTCATTCATTGTTAAATGTACTTATGTAGATTCGTGAGTGGGATCCAAAAACAGATTCACCATCTGTCGTATTCGACACTGAGCGAGGTCAGGGAATAGTATTCAATGTTCTCGTTTTTGATCCGCTAACTAACGACGAATCCGTGTATTCGCCTGTGGCAACATATGGTTGCAGTTTTACCGCAAAAGTCGACGGATGTGACTCACTGGGTATGTTTCAGTCTTTTTGTGCAATATTACAGAAGGCTCATTCTTTTTATGTTCGTGAAAAAATTGTCGAGTTTTTTAGCATGCATATTCTGGCCTGCCCCAGATTACAAAGTTGGGTGTACTTTCGAGGCATGCAAGACTGTTAATTTATGCGCTAATTATAAATGTTGCCTCAATGCTCACTCGCGTCAGGGAAAGATCCAATGTAGTTTTTTGGGGTTGCAGTTTGCCACCAGCCATAAGCTGGGGGTACAAGCACCAGCTTTTCGTAATATTATATAAATGATATATATAAATGATATGCTGTGATTGTTTTTTGGATTGCCAGACCCTCAGATAAGATTTTAAACTCCCTATTTACAACTTACAAGAGCAAGCATGGTTAATGTGTATATGATGGTAATGCCAGGAATAGGTGAGGGTAAGTCAATTATGCTCAAGAGCATTGCACCGGCATCGCGAATGCGTAGGTTCGATTCCTGCCGGAGGACCTATAGTTGACTCATTTTTCCATCAACTGTTCCTGGCTTGAATTTGAAGTGTGTATAATACCACTCGAGATTAAACCTCTAGAATTTACTTGCATCGAGTGAAGTTCCAAAATTAATCATAATTCATTTACATTTTGCATAGTTAAATCCTAGTTAACTCAGATGTACACGACTCTGATTGGCTGATTCTGTCCTTAACTACAGTTAAAAGTTAACTAGTCTTTTGTACGACTGGCCCTTTGGTGCATGATTAATATTCCCCATGTTGCCATTCGAACAACGCAAGTCAACATTTTTTTAGTGTAAAATTTTGTTCTACGCAGGTTCAATTGCAAATCTTGTTTTGGCATCATGTGGCGCTCTCTTTGGCTTATTTATTTGCTTCTTTGGTTTGCGATTCTACAGATTATGTGAGTCTTTTTTAAATTTTTAATAAATTTAGGTACACCGGACTGAGGCGTTTGAACCAGTAGCTCATGCTGTGTGTTTTTGGATTATATGCAAATTCGCCAAGAAATAGATATCAGACATTCTGTTGAATGTTCTTCACTTTCGTGTAACACTATTATTAGATAGAGATACCCTTTTATAGATTCGTATATAGATAAATCCATCCTATACTTTTTATGTGCAAGAGACATCGCTGAGCTATGGTAAACCTATTTCAGTTCGGCCAATGATGACCGCAAGTCATATCTGAACCACGCTATTGTTATGCGCAAGACTTTAATCTTTATTATTTTCATTTCGTATTCAGACATTCTTGGCAGCGGGCTCACGTTATTTTCGTTCATTGGATTTGTAGTGCTGACCATTGATACAGAATGGAGTCACGATGGTAAGGTTTATAACGGTAAATTAGTGTAAAGGGTGTGAAGAAGTAACTGCATGATGTAGCACTAACTGATCCCAAGATAGGTAAAACATATAGTAACGAAAACATGTATAACCAGGGAGCAGCGTGGCAGCATCAAATGTGATATAACAACTGCCTATAAAATAGACAAATCACTTCTCGACGTTTCAACCTGAGGGCTTTTGTCAGGAGAGTTAGTATGATCTAACCCCCCCCCCCCAATCAAGCTTCTAGCTACGGCCCTGACTAACTCTCCTGACGAAAGCCCTCAGGCCGAAACGTCGAGTAGTGTTTTGTCTATTTTAGGCAGTTGTTATACCACATTTAATGAAAACGTAGTAACATAGTAACGTATAAAATAATAATGAAAACACGATCGATTAAAATAGACCTTGTATAAGAAACAAGCAATATAAGATTTTTATTCATTACTGCGATCGAACTTTGAATTATGCACTTTGCTGAACCATTTGTGAAACTTATAACTTGTATTTAAACTCAAGTTGTGAGCCATTCGAAAACAATGAATAAAACGTGTTTCAAATCCCAGAAGTATGATTTGTCAGACTGCATGGCATTGAAATTCTATTTGCAGATCTATACCTATGCAATGCACTTGTATTATGTGCAAGACTAGTATAATAGGAAGATAATAGGAAGACGTCCTATTTCGTTACGTCCTATAAGGTTTCTTTTCGTTTCAGTGCGGATGATTGGAAGTGTGTGTATAGGCATCGTAGGGGGACCGCTTATATACTTGCTCTGGTGGTGGACAGGATACAAATACCCTGTGCTCTATATATGTGGTTTACCTTTTGGTTTTCTTGTTGGTGCTTTGGTGTTTTTTACACCATTCGGTAAGTTTTTTTTGTCAAATCTTACTGTTATACGATCCCTTTTGCTGGAAAAGAACGCTATATGACTTCGATCCACCCTTGGATCGTTCACGTTAAATTTTTATACCTACATTTTTACCTTCTAGGCAAACAAAAATAGTATAAAATACATTTTAGTGTATTTTATACATTAACGTTTAAAACGTTTTATTGCGAAAATAACTGCAGACTATTTTCACAGTTTTTTCGTTCTCTTCGTTTTTTAGGCACTGCACATTTCTGTAAAAACAGTTTTTTATCTGTCACTTTCACAAAAACAATTAGCTAAGTCGCGGCTACACCGGCCATTTTAATGGACGATTTTCTCCTTCTAGCGTATGTTATTGTGTGAATTACGTACGCAGTGTATTAGCTGGACGAAGTAAAGTTACCTACTCTGTTCAATGTACTTAATACCATACACCAGGAGAAGAAAATCGACGTCAAAAATCGCCCGTGTATAGCCGGGGCTTTAACTCGCCGCCAGTTTTAAAACCCTTTGTAATAGAACTTTATTATCAAATTTATCGATAAATCAATAAATTGGGCTTGTTTATGAGTAAAAATAATAAACAGTTTATCTGCATGCCAACACTGCATGGCACTGTCGTGCGGAACGCACTAGCTAGAACGCCGGCTTGCTCGTAACTCTGCATGGGAACAGGCCTGGTTGCGAATACAGTTTTATATCTATGTTTTTATTAGGAAACCTGTATTACTGGAAGAATGACGTTAATTACTGGGCTGTGTTTTTTTGTATAACAATCACCACCCCGTGTTTTTTTCTTCTCACTTTAAAAACGGTAAGACTTTATGTGTAAAAAAGACATTCCTTTACAATATGCATCCACACAAACAAAAAAAAAAACCCATGTTATGGACATATAGTAAGGACGTTTACGATATACATTTTCATACTATGGATATAGTATGGAAAAAGTATAGAATATCCATATTGTAATTGCCTTTCCATAGTATTCATTTGAAAAAAAAAATCAGTGATATACAGGGTGTGTCAGAAAAAGCTAAAAGTGTTGGATTTTAAAAACTATCATTTTTTCAAAATATCTCAAAAATATATTTACGTCTGAAGTATATTTTAGCATCTTTTGGCTTATCTAACAGTAAAAACTAGCAGAAATTACCACTAAATGAAAACCAGCCTTTAAGGTTGTATCTCGCACACAAAAAACTAAGATTTATAAATCGATCAATTTTGTAAAAATATTTCACGTTGTAAAAACATAAGCATTGAATATGTTTCAATATAATTTTATATATTTGCACGCGAATTGGAATACCTGAGCTGCAAAATTAGGATTTTTCATTCTAAGCACATTTTGTTCCACATGAATTGATTTGAATAATGTGTGAATCATGCGTATGCATAAAATTCAAACATATTTCCTCTTTTTCCCTTCAAGTTAATTTACCCTTCAGGAGCGATTTGGTTTGTGGAGGAAACCCTGGACACGAATCATAATTTATTTGGATAATCAATTGCAGTCTATTAACATTTTTTTAAATCCTATAGTTTGCTATATCGGTGTGTTCTTTGGTCGGGGCTTATGGATTCATAGTAGGTAATACATACTCTTAAAGCGTTGAATTAATCTAGCAAATTACTTCAAAATCACTATATATATAATGCACATGCGTATAGCTATACGGCTGTTTTTTAACGTGACAGTGAGTTTTCACCCTAATACATTAATATGCACATTTTTCACTTGCCCCAATAAAGGTATCGATATATATGTGAAGTCTTCCATGACATATATAATACTCAATGTTATCATGAGGGCTACAGTGGATGATTTCGTTAAATACGATGTGCCATTTCAATCTAAAGGTAAGCGGCATGTGCATATATTACTTGAAATTTGAAAGTCTTTTCAATTTCATTATAAGTTCCAATTTTTGTGCATTAGTTCTATATCCGTTTTACCCCATACGTACCCGAGAGGTATGTGTGTCCAGTTTCATAAGTGCGGTCAGTGCACTGACCACAATGTATGAAGCTGGACGGTTTTCCCTGTTACTTACTTTTCATGTCCAACCAAAACACATCTTTGTAAGTTACACCAGAAGTTTTAATTTTCTATTCATACAGATTATATACTTTCTGCATCCTGGGGTGTTATAGCAGTTCTAGGCTTGATTGTGCAGTTTTATATGTCAAAAGGAAAACCTGTTTTGCCACACGAGGTTCCGCGTAAGAAACGAGAACGCGAGAGGACTCGTAGACAGGCATGTGTAGCTGCAGTGCGCAGATCTCCTGTAGTAAACAATGGAGACGACCCTCTGCCCGTATTAGTAAATTCCAGACATGGAAATAGAACAATATTTTTCGACGACTTTGATGATGATCATGAACAGACACCAATACTGGTTGAATCACGCTCTCGTGTCCCCCAAACCAAAGGAGTCGGGCAATATTCAACAAAATATGGAACTAATGTCGTTTGCTAAAAATTGTCTCAAGCGGGTGGGATTGCATACTGCTGATTGCATATGGGATGTTGCTCTTGGCCTTATAGGTCAAGTACGGTAGATAGCATTCCAAACTCAAAAAGGGGACGTTTCTTCCAAAGGCGTTTAGCTTAAACGGTAGATAAGTTCAAATGGAAAACAAAATTATTTATTTATTGAACAACCGAACTGAAATATCTCGAGTAAATAGTTTAATTTTCAAGTACATTTTTTTAATGCATAAGATGCAGGTTAAGTCATTCACAAGATCTATGAGAGTATTCGTAAACTTTGGCGTATCACAGTGGTTTAGGCTAAACGCCTTTCGAACAACCGGCCTCTGGTTGTAAAACTGATAAACCATTAAGGCATTGTCGCACACATGCATGGTATTTTATTTATTTAATTCATGTTTTATAATTTTTCCAACGTAAAATAATATATTAATATACAATTAATACTCGCCATCATTAAAATTATCAACCGAAATTCTGACTAACTTGAATTTTACGCACTTTTAGCGGGGCAAAACCTTTAACTTTTAATAATTTATGTATAAACGTCGATGGTGACCATAATTTTGATAACATAATTAATGTAAATAAATTTTATAATATTTCTTAAAACGACATATGAAAAGAAATTCGCAAGGCGTTCGGCCTATTTAAATCAAATTTGTCAGGTGTTTAAAAGAAAGTATACCGTATAAAATACCACACTATAGCGAGATTTGCAAAAAGTCTGTAATTAACCTATTAAGTACTGTAATCTTCTCCCGCACAGCTAGAACATTGCAATTGTTTAAGATGCTAGACATTTCATTCGTGGGAAAAGTTGTTTTTAAAGCCCCCGAAACGGCCTTGCCCAAAATAAATACGCATCAGAAACACAATATTTAATCACACTGAGTCAAAAAATTAATATGGACTATATGAATAATTGAATATAGCAAAAGATATTCGCAGTTTTTAAATAGTCTCATAATTTTTTAGCTGAACAAGTCAGCCGGTAAAAGCACACAAATACTCAATATATCAAGTACAATCCACGATTTCATTGGGAAGGGCAATTTTCACTTTCCCACGTTTGAACGTACTTATCACTTGCCCATTTTCAGTCCACTTGCACAGCGACAACAAATTTCCCAGCTGTTTATGGAAGTTGTCTGCTGATAATATGAGCCTGCACGAGTGGGAGAAATTCCGCTAATAATAATTATAATATGGTAAAATGCACTTTACCTAGATTGAGTTGATACAGAAAAACAGATTCTTACGCCTGTATTCTAAAAGCTCACTCACTAAACGCTCATTGAGTGGGAGTTCTCATTCCTCTCATAACTTTTCCAGGACGGTATTTTCATTCAAACAGTAGCTTGATTTAATATTTTACGTTGAATCTTTTCATTGATTATGAAATAACTTTCACACTGATTGCAAAATTTCTCTGTCACAGCCGGCGAGCGTGAGTGAGCTTTTTGAAGACAGGCGTTAATCTTAAAAAGCAAATCAATTTCATTTCTCAATCTTGCTCTTCTAAAATGAAGAAAAGCAATCCGAGGCTCTCGGAACCGTCACCCAATCAAAACTATCGAAAAAACATACCGCCATGTGCGAACGGAGCACCTTCAATTTCGAAGATCGTACTCCATAACATATAAAGGTCAGTGCTGAGTGATACATCTGTTTTGTAAAGTTAGTATTGCGTGATTGCTACATTGCCTGCAGATGCAGAACGAAATCATTGACCTGAAACTCCACAGTTCATTCGACCCGCCGACATCACTGCAAGATATTAGCTTGAAAAATGTCCAAGGAGGCGAAAGCCGATAAAAGTTTACCGGTATGTACGTGATCATCTATATATAGATAAGATATAGTTATATTAGTTTGAAACATGTCCAAGAAAGGCAAAGTGGAGAAAATTAATCTGATGCATGTATGTGAATAAGGTGATGAATCATTATATATAGCTATGCCTATAGTCTATAGACGTATATTTCTATCGTAGGTAATACATTTTAGTGTTTCAATGTTTGAAGATTGACGTACTATTTTGAGGGGTTTGTTCAAACAAATGCTTTGTCGCTGCTTTAGTTCGCTATACTTTGGTTCGCCAAATTTCGCAATATATGAAATGTGTGAAATTTGATCGTCGAAATTTGAATCAAAGAACCAATACCCATTGTAATGATCAGATGGCAGTGTCTCAAATCTCAATCGACTTAATGTCAATCGATTGTAACCACAACACATATGATCCTTATAAAAGTACTAATTTCACGCGGATTACGAAGGAATGAAAGGATTTAAATGCTTTAATAATTTATGTTTTCTCAATTGAATTGCAAAATACAAATTATTGAGCTGTATAAACTGAATTGTTGCGAATCTCTGATCTGTGTATTAAGTGTATTGCTGCTGCGAGTCTGCGACATCCTCCGTGCTGCGGGTGAGTTTTGAGTTCATGCCCAATCTTCAGTTTGATCTTCTTTGCCTCTCGTGCTGCGGTTCGTAGTTGTTTTTAGCGGGTAATTAGACCGTTGGTACGGTCTGTGCTAGTTTTTATACTTGCTGTGCGTACTGTTAGTACGGCCTGTGCTAGTTCTAGTTCTTGCTGTGCGTTCTTGTTAGTACGGCCTGTGCTAGTTCTTCTAATACTTGCTGTGCGTACTGTTAGTGCGGCCTGTGCTAGTTCTAATACTTGCTGTGCGTACTGTTAGTACGGCCTGTGCTAGTTCTAATACTTGCTGTGCGTACTGTTAGTACGGCCTGTGCTAGTTCTAATACTTGCTGTGCGTACTGTTAGTACGGCCTGTGCTAGTTCTAATACTTGCTGTGCCTTCTTGTTAGTACGGCCTGTGCTAGTTCTAATACTTGCTGCATGTGCGTACTGTTAGTACGGCCTGTGCTAGTTCTAATACTTGCTGTGCGTACTGTTAGTACGGTCTGTGCTAGTTCTAATACTTGCTGTGCGTACTGTTAGTACGGCCTGTGCTAGTTCCAATACTTGCTGTGCGTACTGTTAGTACGGTCTGTGCTAGTTCTTATACTTGCTGTTCTTAATGTTAGTACGGCCTGTCCTAGTTCTAATACTGGCTGTGCGTACTGTTAGTACGGCCTGTGCTAGTTATTATATTTGTTGTGACTTCCCTTCTTGTTAGTACGGCCTGTGCTAGTTCTAATACTTGCTGTGCGTACTGTTAGTAAGGCCTGTGCTAGTTCTAATACTTGCTGTGCGTACTGTTAGTACGGCCTGTGCTAGTTCTTATACTTGTTGTGCCTTCTTGTTAGTACGGGCTGTACTAGTTCTAATACTTGCTGTGCGTACTGTTAGTACGGCCTGTGCTGGTTCTAATACTTGCCGTGCGTACTGTTAGTACGGCCTGTGCTAGTTCTTATACTTGTTGTGCTTCTGTTAGTACGGGCTGTGCTAGTTCTATACTTGCTGTGCGTACTGTTAGTACGGCCTGTGCTGGTTCTAATACTTGCCGTGCGTACTGTTAGTACGGCCTGTGCTAGTTCTTATACTTGTTGTGCCTTCTTGTTAGTACGGACTGTGCTAGTTGACTAGTTCTAATACTTGCTGTGCTTACTTGCTGTGTGCTGTAGCCTGTGCGTAATGGGATGCTCATATTCGATCTATAATTGCGAAAGCATCCCAACGTTTGCACATAACTGTAACACTACGACGTAGTGTATTTCACAACCTGACCTTGCCCTTGCCTGCGAATAACAGAATCTATTTATACGCTTATTCCACGGTGGGGGGAAACGCGATGAATAGAGTCTGCGCGCTGATGTCACGAATTCCATTCATATACGTATACTGATGACGTATTTTGTCGTGAATTTCGGCAGAATTAATCAGTCATAAACACGTTATGTTATTATATATAAATATGCGAATATAGTGCAACATTCAAAAAAATATTCCCGTGTTTCTCAGTTTCTATAAAGTTATAGGAACACGCTTCTCACCCAATCAGCACGCCCGTACTATAAATGTTAATGGTTCACGAATAATTTCTCTTTTTGTGTTGGTGTTGCTGTTGAATGCACGACTTCGCATTGTGCCCTTTTCGCGAAGCGATATATTCATTAATTTTCTTTCAGAGCTCTCACTTCATCCATCTACAACAAATAGACCTTTTGAGCTGCTATGCAAATTAAGCCATTTCAAAATGATATACGATGATTTTTCACGTGTGAAGAATATCGTACGTCCAATCAAAAGGCGTGTATAGAATTTTTCACACGTGAAAAACATCGTACGTCCAATCAAATTGCATGAAATTAATTTACACAGTGAAATACGTCGATTTTTATTTCATCATTCTGCTGGGCATAAATCTCTATGCAAATATAATAAAATGTATAATGCGATGTTATTGTATTTTATTGTACTTTATTATTATTATAATGTGTATTCTCGCGATGCCTATAATTATAGGGCATTTTAGAACGGTTGAATGCGGGTGAAATTTTGATTGGTGATGGAGGATATATAACGGAATTAGAACAAAGAGGGTATGCTTGTGCTGGACCTTGGACAGCGGAGGTGACTGTAGAACATCCAGATGCAGGTACAGACAGCTAGTTTAGGTCATTTTTTGAGGATGACTCTGCATGGATTTCTGCGCATTTCTGCATAGAACATGCATGAGGCTTCTTTTTTATCACGCATTTTAACGTTGATAGTATTTCACATGCAAGTCAAAATGCTAAGTTACGCTGGTGTACGTGCAATTAGAATTTACGTATGATTTTTGTGCAAAGACCACAAAAAGTTAATTGCAAAACTGCGCCCGTGTGTCGTAGGGCCCAGCTTAGGCTTTCCCTGCAGCTAGCAGTGTTTGCGTTTCAGTAATCTATTCCAGCTGATCTGAGATCATGACGTCCTAAAGCGTCTCGACAAAACTGAGTTATTGTGCGCCTGGTGTTATTCATCCCTATTCTTCTAACTAATAGTATGGTGAAGTATTTAAATTCTAATTTACAATTGGTAAAAAATAAACGTGTTTTCACATGAATATAATAAAATTACTTCATATTTTCGAGTGTTGAAGTCATACTCAATGAAGGAAATGATAATTCAGTTTTGTCAAAGATCTAGCTTCTGATTGGCTTATACCCAGATCAGCTGGTTGGTCAATCACGTATAATTCCTTCAATATTTAGTGGAGGGCCTCCACAAGGAATTTGCCAGGGCCGGATCGGATGTTTTGCAAGCATTAACATATGCAGCCAACGACAGATTGGAAAAGGTAAATCAACTGTTTATATATCGCTATTGAGTTGAAAAAATAATGACTTGGCGAACTTAAATGATTATGTTATAATCGATTACGTAGAGAATAATATATGGATGGGCGGAAATATGGAATTAATTTCGACTTTTGAGAATGATATTCACGAGAATGATATACACGAGTTTATTATATAATAAATAACTGGGTTTTTTTTAAAGTTTTTTTATCTCCCTTTCTGATTCCAGATCAATGGATCAAACCAATGGATAGAGATTATAAATAACGCTTGTGGGGTAATCGAGAAGAAATTGGGGGGCGCGTTAATAGGGGGCAAATTCAAGTCTCGGATGTTCATTCACTCACAATGTCCTAGGCCAAAATATGTCATTTTAAACGAGTTTTTTCTCTTCCTAAATGGTTTTTTTTCATAAAATATCATTTCAGGATGTCTAAGGTAGTAAAAACAGTTAAATTTTCCTTAAAAATCGGCAAAGCGACCTAGAAAACGAATACAATTTTTTTAATACAGATTTTAGTTGTCTCTAACGTGGTTGGTAAGGAGGCATTGATCTAGACCAATGCCTCCTCTCTATCAATCAAACACGATAATCGCACTTTTTTTATCGCTTTTCAAAATGGCAGATTCGCCAATAAAACACTGCAATGACTGCATATCATATAATAAATTATGTTAATTAATGTTTTTAGTTTAACTTATTTATTATCATGTTATGAAATTATTTAACATCCTAATCTAATATATAATCGTGGTAATCGTTTATCGCTGACCTATTCTCTATAATTCCTGACCTATAATTCCCTTCAGAAATTCCTGTTGAATTGAAATTAGAATATCGTGTTCAAAATTGTTTCTTAATTTTTAGAAAAAAAATTCTCGAGAACAAAATTCTGATAGGAAAAAAACGATGTTATGTTTGTACAGATCAGTTTCGCTATGACAACCATGCAGCTGATCTGCATACATAAATCAACCAATTGGTAGCCACATCAATAACAAAATTGATTAATAATTTCCTAAACTCTCATGCTTTACTACTTTTTTTAGTATCAAGTCGGAGAATTAGAAGATGTCAATGAGTCTGCTTGCAATATTGTAAAGAAGATCGCAGGGAAATACGATTGCTTATGGGCGGCTGGGGTCTCGCCCACAGAGCTTTACCAAGATGGATCTAGATCTAAGAAAGATGTACAAGAAATCTTTAGACAGCAAGTGGAAATTTTTGTGAAACAAAACCCCGATTTCCTGATTGCCGAGGTAACCTTTGTGCCTGAACACCATGGAATGTAGCAAGCGGGGGGCTATAAACATTACTATGACTTTCAAAGTCGATGAATACTCATCATGGGATCATGCATTTTAAAATTGTGTGCATATTAGTTGCATGTTCTGCCTCCATTTACCGATGATGGTGAATTATGTAGATCCCATGCACTTCAAACAAACTCAATTTTTCAAATTTTATTATAATTATAGGGCGAGGTTTATTTTTAAAAATAATTGAATTTCGGCTAAAAAGCGCCTATCTTGGGTTTTAGTCTAGAAAACTATTCGTGTAGTTTTTCTCACATTCTATATTGCTCTAATCACAAGCTTAAAACACAAAGATATAAAACTGATTGAATATAGACAAAATGACATGATTTGTTAGCGCCCTCTTCTCATATAATTCAAACAACTGAAGCTGGTACTTTTTATAGAGGGGGGGGGTACTTTTTTGACCACCCCCTGTACTTTATATATGGCCGACGGATATTTTTTGGTATTCTTATTATTATTGCTATTTTTGAACTTGTTTATACGTTTTCAAACAAATTGGTCCAGCAGGACAGAACTCCCCCTGAATTATCGCGCTTATTTCTTCTCTGTGCGTCTTTTCACTTTTAGAGCAAAAATGCATTCTAATATCTCTTGTAACTTGTATTTCAAAATTTCATTTGTAGTTATTTGGTTTTTGTGAAGAACTTGAATGGGCTGTGGAAGTCCTTAAAGAGACAGGAAAACCAGTTCTAGCCAGTATGTGTATAACGTCAAAATCAGACAAAAACGGGGTCCCAACTGATGAGTGTGCTGTGCGTTTGGTGAAGGCAGGTAATGATTGTTTCGGACAATCAATAAATTACAATGTCGAAATTAGACTGACCAATAACATATTAAACTCAGAGTTGCATATGGAGTTGAACCTTCCTCCTGTAGGATTTCAAGTTTTGAAAACCTTCCTCAAAATGACGTTACTTCACTGAGTCAAGTGGCAACCAGCATAAAGAAATAAATGTTTTTTTTTGTACATGCATGTTCAACTTAAAATTAGGGTGTTCAACTTCGTGTGAAATCTCCTCACAAACCTCATTCAAAGCAAACCTTCCTCCAGGTGGTGCCCGCGTACCTGCAGCTTTATTGCAACTCTGATTAAACTCGACGACGGAGTTCTGTGGCTCAACTCAGTATTTTCTTGGTTGGTTTTTATACACTTGTACCCAGAGCCTTTTTATACATGTGCAATCTCGCATTGTCACGAGTCATGAAACTCGTTTGAAAGTTGATACCCAACTCGTTACGAAATTTTGTCACGAGTCGTGACACAATGAGGACTCCTAAAATCTATTGCCAAATATATATACACTAAGTCGACGGGATTCGTAACGGGTCGTGAAAACGCTAAAATATTATCCGGTATCATAATTATTTGGTTTACCCTCCCTGTCCCAATTGCGTCGTTGTCGCTTCACTGCGTTCTAGCTGTTTAAGGACGGTCCACAGTGTATATCTATTGTTTCAAAAACAAAAATTGCATTTATCAGTGTCTTGTTGGCAACTTGCTATATACGACGGATATGGATTACTTATGCATGTCATTTTGTTTGGGACAATAATTGTGAAATGATAAAATTGTGAAATTAATATAAAATGTGGCAATTACAATTTTAGCGTGAAATCAAACTCGTGTTTACAAAACTGCCAGTTTGTGATCATGGGATTTTGTGATTGCGTGTTTAATTTTGCATTAAATTGGACTGATTACTACTGTAATAGGCACTTCAATGTGCAAACCTAACCTAAATGACGTCATTTAGGAATTTTTAGATTTTCATGTACAACCTTTAGTGATTAATGTACCATCTGCATGTGATTAAAGATACAATCGAGTTACACCAAATTGGACTGATTACTAGTGTAATAGACACTTCTCGAATTTTCTCGGGCAATGAAAACCATCCCACTAATAATAGATTTCGTTGCCCGCCTCGTTTCCAAGCTGTTGTTTTGTGTTCACTCAAGCAAATTCGGGAAGTGTCTTTTAGCATTATAATAAAGTGCACAAAAATAGTTTTACGATCAAAATTATTTGATTTATATAATTTCTCTTTTATTTTCATGTTTAAAAAGCAGAAAAAACTGTGATATTAATCCACTGTTATAAATAGAATGTACAGCCTTAGGAGACTCCATATACATTCTCGTTATTACCAGGTGCTGATATCATTGGAGTAAACTGCGATATTGATCCTTCTGAATCACTAAAAAGCGTGGCGAAGATGAAAGAAGGTATAGACAAGGCTGGTTTGAAGTCCCATCTTTCTTTTCAGCCACTTGGATATCATTGCCCGGATGGTGGAAGCACTGGTTATTCTTCTGTAGCCGAGTGGCCTTATGGTGAGTTTTCAGCCTTTTTCAAAAATTAATAAATTAATGAACCGATATGACTTTACCCGAGTTTAACTAAATTCAATGTGTACTTCCCATTAAATCTATTTATAAATCCTTTTTTCTTCCTCTCTCAAAGTCAGTAACTTTTTACCTTCATTCGGAAAAATAAGAAATAATATTTAACGTGTGTAGTTGCTTTGATCTGTGGTGTCAAATTCAGTAATAATGGTAATGTTTCGCTAACACTCTTTTAAATTGAATTCATTTTCATCATCTGCCTTAACTTTTCTTGGCGTTTAATCTTTCATCGTTAAAGATTAATATTCCGTTATTAATTTTTGCGGATATATATATATATATATATATATATATATGTATATATATATATATATATATATATATATATATATATATATATATATATATTTATATTTATATACACGTATATCAGCAGAATATAATTATTTAACGATAAAAGATTAAACGCCAAGAAAAGTTAGGGGAAATGCAGAAAATGAATTCAATTTAAAAGAGTGTTAGTGAAACATTACCATTTATTTATATATATTTAGATAATTATTTAATATTGCGAAGTTTTATCAGTGCAATGATGGTCCGGGTTTACGGTCCGAAAGCTTTGCAATATTAAATATTTAGATACTTACGTGAGGTACCAACAAGCTAGTTTAATTATATCTATAAGCCTTTAAAATAGGTATAGAAAATCGCTTATTCGTGGTCGGTTTTAATTCAACATGGTTAGGAAAGATCGGTCCAGGATCACGATTGACCGGTATCGATTGATTGTGCTCGCATGATGTTACCTCTTCCACATATTATTACATGCAGCTAGAGTTTTGGTTTCAAGTTGATAAACTTCATACTATCATTGCAGCCTTAGAACCACGTCAGTTAACAAGGTGGGATGTCCACAAATTGACACGTAGAGCGTATGATATTGGTGTGAGGTATTTTGGTGGATGTTGCGGGATTAAGTCTTACCACATTCGAGCCATTTCTGAGGAGGTGAGGAAACGAGTATGGTATACAGGTTATTTAATTCCGTGACGTTATATATTTTAAAAATACTTGTGAAATTCGTGAATAATTAACTTCAATCATTGCGCAGTATGTTGCTCACATGTATACATGCATCTGTAACTTTCCATTTAAGGAAGATTGATCATGACATGTTCATTTCAAAATCGAAGCCGAAAAACGAACATAGAAACAAGTTCAAGCGTTATTATTGTTTGTTTCACTTGATTAATATTCTATCATCATCCGGAGAGATTAATTCCTTTTTAATTAAAATATATAAGTTATAGGTAACTAAAAAGAAGGAATCAAATCTACGTAATCGTATCCGTTGTGATTGTTATCATTATTTTGCCCTTCATTTATTTTTACTATATTTGCGATCTTGTAATAAAATCGTTACTGTTTTAGCTTGAGAAAGAACGTGGAAGAAAGGCAGAGAGCAGTCAGAAACACACGCCATTTACTGGAAAATATTCTGTAACGGCTTCAGGGATGTGAGTATTAAAATTTGTAGTATGTACACCGTAGTTTCGGCCCTGAAAGCGCACTATATTGCTAGTAGCTAATTTTCTAGTCACTTTATATTATATATTTTTTGCAATGAGCTTTAATAATTCTAGCGTTTATATATTGGACTAAATTGCGAGGAAATTTGAAAAAGCTTTACATAATTATTAGCAAAGAAAAGTGAAAAACGTCGAATAAAACATCGAATAAGAACATTACCAGCAATGTGCATATATGTTTACTTTGTGTTTGTTCACTCTGCATCAAAGCGTGAGTAAGGACTATATACAGGGTGTATCAAAAAAAATGTCCCAAATGTAAAAATTCCTTTTTTCAGGATATTTTGCAGAATTTGGCAATTTTTTGTGTTCCTAGAGATAGTTAAGACTTATCTGGTATGCCTAGGCCAAGTTTGGTTTTTCATTAACAAAATTATGTTACCGGGGGGGTGGTTCCTTTCCACTGATATTGAGAGGGCTTGCGCGCGAAAATGTGAAGCTGAAATTGAGATATTATTTAGCTGTATAAAAGTAGGAAAGCTTTTTAATAAACTGTCAAAGTTTCAGAAAAAATAATGCATACTGGGAGCAACGCGCGACGCCTAAAGGTGACAAATATTTCATTGCGCGCAGTGGATTAAATGCATCGTTGATTTTAGCGTGACCAATCTCATACAAGTTGGGAAAATGAATAAATTAAAGCGAGAAACTGAACACAAAAACAAAGCGATTTATTCGTGATGTTAATCCTCAGCATGTCCACCATTTCATTCTAAGCAAACTGCGGCTTGTCTGAGCATACTAAACACTGAACAGCGAACCATTTGTCTGTCCATTCGCCTAGATTTGCCGGTGGTCGCGTATAGGCGATTTGCAAGAAAGAATTTCGAACGAAATGGATAATTTGAGGCCAGGACAGACAAATGTGGTTCGCCGTTCAGTGTTTACCATGCTCAGACGAGCCGCAGTTTGCTTAGAAAGAAATCGTGGAAATGTTGAGGATTAACATCAAGAATAAAAATCTTGTTATTAAATCGCTTCGTCTTCTTGTTCAGTTTCTCGCTTTATTTTATTCATTTGCCCAGCCTTGCATGAGATCGGTCACGCTAAAATCAACGATGCATTTAATCCACTGCGCGCAATGAAATATTTGTCACCTTTAGGCGTCGCGCGTTCCTCCCAGTTTGCATTATTTTTCCTGAAACTTTGACAGTTTATTAAAAAGCTTTCCTACTTTTAAACAGCTAAATAATATCTCAATTTCAGCTTCACATTTTCGCGCGCAAGCCCTCTCAATATCAGTGGAAAGGAACCACCCCCCCGGTAACATAATTTTGTTAATTAAAAACCAAATTTGGCCTAGGTATACCAGATAAGTCTTAACTATCTCTAGGAACACAAAAAATTGCCAAATTCTGCAAAATATCCAGAAAAACGGAAATTTTACATTTGGGACATTTTTTTGACACACCCTGTATATGGACCATTTTTGTGGCAGTCTGTCAACACGATGATTTTTTTTAATTTAGCACTCCCCCCAAAAAAAATATGATCCGCCACCCTGCTATTTAAGGAGAACGCTTCCTAGCCGTGTCATATTGAGATTTGCAATGTCAGATTTACCTAGCTCTGATGTGTCGTCATAGTAACTGGAGACCATGTGCTCGCTCCATTTTGCATTTTTTTGTTAATTAAGGCATATGAGTCATCACTGTTGTTAAATTACTCATTTTGCGGGTAACCTTTTAATCACATACGCTGTGACGTTATAGCATTGATGACATTTCTGTTAATGATCGGTACCGAAATCAGCACAATCCGAAAGCACGCATGTAGGCGAACAAGTTTAACCTAATTATGTATCAGAGGCAAAATCTTATACTTCACTTGATGTGCCGCAAAAAGCTTTTGAGGCCTAAAACCTCATAGACATCCGAAAACTCAGCTTAGCTCCTAATTTGTGTTGTTATTCTTGTTATATTTTTATAAGGTTGAGAAAAGAAGAATATTGGATGAAATTAAAACCTGCGTCTGGTCAACCTTATTGCCCCGCCTTTGCTGAGCTATTGAAATAAACGACGCTGTGACTAAACGTTTATATAAACGTTGAAAATATCTTCTTTTTACATGCATGCATTTTGTGTACAACATATATTAGCTATATATGTTATATTGTATAATATAAATATATATATTTTGATAAAAATATTTTTTATTCATATTAAAGGATTACGATTATGTGACTCACGTGAGGCAGTTCTAGCCAATCTTGAGACATCTTGAGAGTCAATATGACAATGATATAATCGGATGTACATGGTCAATCCTTTGGTTCTTTCAAACCATATAGCAACCTTAGAGTGTCATTTTCACTAACTTCAATAGGCTACTAAAAGAAAAAGTATCGTATGTAGAATGTTGAACATAATCACAAAAGCTTTTTAGTGGCTAAAGAAGATTTTCTTTGTTAAAAGGATCTGCAATGTGTTTTTCCTCTGTTATAATTTCTCCGTTTATTTTCAAAGATCGTACATTAGTTGTTTTTTATATCGATCCTTTACCTCGAATGAGGTTGACACTTTTCCACACATTGCTTTACATGGGTTTTGTTACTGCTGTTTATTTAAGAAATAGAAAACATTTTCCGTGTTTCTATACAGTTATAGAAACACGCGTGGGAGTTTGGGAGAACGAGAAATAATCAGTGGTAATACGAGCCCGTAGGGCGAGTTTTTCCACGTTATTTCGAGTTCTCCCAAACCCCCACAAGTGTTTCTATATAACTGTATAGAAACACAGGAAAAAATGTTTTTTATTTCTTTTATAATGTAACTCAATAAAAAGATTTTGTACAAATATTATGATTCGATTTAATTACAAATTCTCATTACATCGCTTCGCTTGTCAAGTTCGGCGGGAAAATTCCCGTGTTTCTATACAGTTATAGAAACACGCTTCTTGACCAATCAGCACGCGCGTACTATAAATGTTATATTATAAACTATTTTGGAATATTTTTCTACTATTTGGTTGGTTTTGTTTCGTGCAATTTTTGCCTCATAGAAATACCGAGAGCTGGGGCTAGTCGCTTTAGTTTTTAAATAATCTCGATGATTCATTAGGTTTTTAATTTCGTTTGTCAGCCAAGGGCTTTTCGTGTCACCAGTGGGGCATATTTATCACCAATAAAAGTAAACACTTTTCTCCATTTTCTGCACATTTTAATTGCTTGGGTCTAGTTCGGCTTCAGTATATATTGAACGAATTTAATTAATAGAATAGATCCCTTCTGAATGAGAGTTTGTTGTAGTTTTTATAGAATCTAGTTTCAACAATTTTGTGAGGCGGTCTGCTGATTGCATCTTTGATGCATTCAAAAGCCTGGCTTGCGAGGTTGGCCTAAATCATGTAGTGGTCGCTAATGCTATAGTACGTAACACACCACTCGATTTAACTTTTTCGAAATGCTTGTAATAAATATGTCTATTAATGATGTCGTTTCATGCAGTAGTAACTCATGTTGGCTTTGTTATAATTTGTTCCAGCTGGTAAATATCAATTATAGCTAAAAGTCGTTTACTATGCAATCGTCGTTTTTTTTTCATTTTCTAACTAATTTCAATTCAAATCGCCCACTTTATGATATTCTTTATTTTCCTTCTTAAGTTTGGCTATTTCACTAACCCCTGACTCACTTTTACTATTGAATTTTGACTTAGTGTATCGGAACTTACCTTGGAATATGAAACTAACCTCAGCCTGTAGAAAAATATAAACACTCCAAACATCAATAATTAATTGAGGAACAAATGAAATTTCAGTCAGCAAAGTCGTTTCTTTTTCCAAAATTTGATTTCTATAATGAATGTTTTGATCACGAGCGGGCAAGATGAAATTCTGAGCTCGTTAAATAATATTCTGAGCGGACAAGATGAATTTTTGAGCGGGCAAGATAACTTTTTCAAGATGAAATAATAATTATACAGCCCTATGCTGCCATCTAAATAAATTATACAAGTAAAAATTAATACTCTCTCGTTCATACATTCATCCAAACAAACTTTACTTTAGTAATATTGACTGCGTAACATGAATAAGATAGATCTTATGCATAATGACGTCACAAAGCGTTAGTAGTAGTCACGGCTGGAAACTTTCGAAACGAAACGTTTCACTATGTCGACATAACTATAATAACACGATATAAAACCGTCTATGATGGCTATGAAGTACATCTTTATGATTCGTCACATCATATAAACACAGCCGCAGGTGCCTGAGAGCAAAATTTGATTAAACCCGACACGTCTCCGGTTAACATTTGAACACAAATTGGGAATTCATTGGCTGCATGCATGTATAGACCACTGCAATATTTTATTAATGCCACTAAATGCCCCAAGAGTCGTTTCGAAATTGGGCCACGCCGATTAAGTACGACTATATCAAAGTGATGTGCGGCAAGGATTGGAACTAAAGATGCATCAATTCCAAAACCGAGTAATAATTTTTCTGCTCGTTTTCCTTCGTCGCAATGGATTCTGTTTGGATTTCTGCTTCAATGCTAGCCTCGAAGGTAATAAAAAATATCGCATTTTAATCGACGAAATTATCTTGTTCAGGGTCTATATTCACTTCCACTAAGTCAATGCATAATATGCTTAATATTTAAATATGTGAACAACCAATACTACAGGAATAATATAATAATATAAGATATTTAGCTACGTCAATTCCATGCAGCTAAATAAATTATCTTTCTACCGAACAGGCTCTCGGCTCAACAGTTCAGTTCTAAAGAGGACAAAGGTTTCGAACGAAATTGATTGCATAATATCGTGCGTACAAGAACCATGTTGCAGATCTCTGAACTACATGGAAAGATTACCGCAAGAACACGCCAGTCTCTGTGAAATGCTACACGATGTCATTTTTGATACCTCAGCAGGGTTGCAAAAGAATTCCTCTTATGATTATGTTTTTATTACTGCGCCACAGAAGGTAAACTTCTTACTCATATAAACGAACGAAGATCGCAGGACTTGCAGAAATAGTAAAATGATGTTAGTTTTGTTCTCAGTACTTAATGTATGATGATGATATTTATATACAAATTCCGCACACCAGAGCATGCACTGCATACGAAAAATAAAATCCAATATGGTGGTGCAAAATGAATTGGTGGCTAAGGCCATATTGGATTTATACTTCCGTATACATACGCTGTTAAGACAATTCATTTCTTTAGAAATTCATGGTTTTCACAGACAATCAACATCAAAATATTAGCATAGCACGACTAAATTGTCGAGCTGGCTACGCCACTGAAAATAATTATCCTCATTCTGCATAATGTTTTTCTGCCATTTGACAAGATGCAATTGGCTATGGCCGGTTTGTTGCAGAGGTTACATGAATTTTCACGATAGGATTACTATACAAGCGCAAAAAGATTGGCGTCTTGTTACGCGGTGCAATTTTTTAATTTCATGCAACTTTCAATGCAATTCTACTTTTGAAAAATGCAAGTTTGGAAACTAAGAAAATATTATTTTTATTAATTACTCCATAGACGCTAATAATTCTTACATTTTGAATAACAAAGTAGAATTGCCGGCATTGCAAGTTGAAAGAAAATTTGCACCGTGTACTAGGGGCGTAAAAGATAAAGCTCTTCTACTTTAAATGCGAACGAGACAAAGCAGCTTGTAAATTATTTTTTAATTATCACACCGTAATTTGCATGTGCAAAATGTAGCTATATTTGTGTAATGCATCTTAGAATAATCGATGAAATGAAAAATACTTAGTCACCTGCCAGAAGCCTATTAAGCATAACACAGGGTGTTCTTTTTATAACAGGTATACAATGAACGATGCACCGAAAAAGGTATTTTATTATTTGTATTAGAGCCGTAGCTGGAAGCTTAATTCGAGGGAGCATATTATTCATCTTATGCCCGGCTGATTTCTAAGTTTTTCTTCCTACGTTTTGTAATTATTATGAGTACAGCACTATGAATATGCATCCTCCAGTTAGACCGTGCAACTATACGGTCCTGTATATTATGCATCATGCGTGTTGACGTGTTCTGCATTATTTATTCCCTTTGAAATAAATTGTTCTTACGGCATGAGAATAAGGCTTGTTTTCCACTTCAACAGTACGTAGGGTAATGTAACGTATTTCTATGTGTTTCCGAGTATTCGACCAGAACTGATGACTCTAAAAAGATACGCTACGTTTTGCTAGGATACGGTTGAAGTGTAACACGACCGGAAGCCTATTATAGGAATATTTGCCAAGTTTGCCTTTAATTATACAGGAATATAATTATCGTTCTCCCGGCGCCTTTGATAATGGCCGAATTTATATTAGAAGACGGATTTCTAGTCTGCTCGCAGAAGACACAAAACTCGACAAAAACCGTAACTCGTTTGTATCCCAATGTATTCCGCAAAACTTAATTACCAGTCTTTTATTTCTATTTTGGGGAAAAATTTGTCTGATTTATTCGTCAGATATAAATTTAGGACGAGTCGTTTAAACGGAAAAGTTGGACGGAGAAATTAAGACTAAGAACCTATACGGTTTACCGAATTTGTATCAAGACCTGTTACCCGTCTGGGTCGAGTTTGTGTCTCAGACGGAAATCCGTTTTCGAATAATTTTTATAAATTCGGCTAATGCCCTTTGAGTTTTACTATAAAATACATCGAGTGAAAGGATGGGATATAAAATCATCGGGCACTGTTGGACCTTGGTAATTGAATTCGTACAGCATATATGATTTTTACATCCACTTGCAGGAGATTTTGATCTGACATTTGAAAGCGCTGAAAACTTTACTTTACTTGACCAAAATGTGCCGAAGATGTCCAACATGACACTAATGTTCTGGATGAATACGCTGAAAGCAGACGAAATGACAGTTTTCGCCTACAGAACGAGGGAAGGTGCGGGGGAATTTAAGCTTAAAATGAAGAAAGAAAGGATAATGCTGGAAGTTCAATCGCTGAAAAAGTATGAGATATATGTATTTAATTTGTTTTAGGTATTTTGCAAAACGAAATTGCTTTCTGTTGTCTTCGAAATGAATTAATAATCAGCGAAATTAGATAATTGGGTTTTCGTCGTTCTTATATATACAGCGAGTGTCTGAAAAAATCCCTAAATGGAATTACCAGATATATGGGAGCGATATTTTCAATGTAATGATTTAATCCTTATATGCAATATGAAAGAGCTGTAATTTCGCATCCCAATGATATATCTTTCTTCAGTTCGTAACAGCATGAAATAATAAAATACATTTTTCAAAATTTAAGTCACCAGTAAATCAATTAGTGACCGAAATCAAACTTGCCTGCTTAAAAAACGGCAGGCAAAACGAAGCTAATTTGAATTTTTAAAATTGGAATCTATTATAGACTTTTAATCATGCGTGTTTGCGCCAATCAGATTGTCGAATTCAATTCCAGGCGGTGAGAGAGTGTTGTAGCTTTCGACGGGCAATTTTTAACAGACAATTACTTTGCCATTTCTGGCCATTATGGCATAAAAAAGTTGTTGTTTAAAAGATAAATAACTCATCTCTCTTGTACCTTGAAAAATAAATCGTGTGGCTCAATATCTAATACTAGAAATACATGCATGCAGCAACCCCTCGCCATTTTAAAGGAAGGAAAATATTTCGTGCGCTACCCTGACCTAACTTTCTACGCTAATATTATGAAATAATTCGTGCAAATTTTTCGCAAACAAAGACAGTCGTAAAGGTGAAAAGAAATCACCTGTTTGCCTGCTGCATTACGTTGCAGTTTAAGTAAGTGTTAAACTTTTCTATAGCTAAACCTTCAAAACATCAAAACAGCACAAATAATTATAATAATCATACAAGCACTAAACGTCGAATGTTGTTTTTCAATTATTTATTTTATTCAATGATTTTAGCGACTATATATATATATATATATATATATATATATATATATACGTATATATATATATATATATATATATATATATATATATATATATATATATATATATATAAGCTGCAAAGTGATATTTGTTTTATCAAAACTCCGATGTACATATTTGAGAAATCTTTTTAAAGTTTAAGCGATGATGTAAAGCCTTAAACGATCGGTTAGCTTCTAGTAAAACGACATACCAAGATCGTACTTGTTAAAATAACAAGGCATTCTTACAGCAAACACTGAATAAGCAAAATATCAGTAGACACCTACCACTTCAAAGATTATAAACTACGAGTCGTTCCTACTTCACCAACTGTTTCTGTGCTGTGATGATCTTTAAATCTTTTGTTATTGTTTTAATATTTGACTCCATGATTTCATTTTATATTTTTAGAAAATAGTTTGCAAAATGACGGCTAAAATGCTGACGCTCTCATGCATGCTCTCTTTTTGTCTTAGCCAATCAGCAAGTTGTAGTCGACCATTCTTTCTTCGTTCAAATTTCGTGCATGCGCACAACTACAATGACCATTGAACGTCCATGACATTTGGGCAACTTTGGATTCGCCTATGTTCTGTCAGAATACCAGGGTTTAATTCCTAATCTCCGGGCGGGATTATTACTCTCGCACAGCACTTCGCGCCGGCTCGGGGATTAAAGAAATAGAAGACTTTTTTCGTGTTTCTATACAGTTATAGAAACATGCGTTGGTTGTTGGGAGAACGAGAAATATAATGAGCGAGTTTTTCCACGTTATTTTGAGTTCTCGCAAACTCCCACAAGTGTTTCTGTAACTATAATATAGAAACACAGGGAAAATGTTTTCTATTTTTTCTATAATACCACTCAATAAAAAGATTTCATACAAATGTTATATTTCGATCCAATTACAAATCTCATTACACTTTGCCTGTCAAGTTCGGCGGGAAAATTCTCGTTTTTTCTATATACAGTTATGGGGGGAGGTATACTGAAAGTCAGTCAGTTGCTCATACCTGTTACGAAGACAAATTGCTATGTTCAACCTAGTTACTTTTTACTAAATTTTTGTGGAAGTAAATCCCAAGGTTTTAATGCTATTTTTAAGGTATTTCTTTATTCCCCCAATAAATGACGGTTATTGGCATCACGTGGCGGTGACATGGTCTCTTGGGATATACAGTGTTTCTCTTGATGGTACATTAGAGTACAGTGGTGATGGTCTTTCCTCTGGCCAACCGTTGAAAGCTGATGGTGTCTTTGTCATCGAGAGTTCATTCTCGGGCAAATTGAGTCAATTAAATGTATGGAGTGATTTAAAGTCCGCTACTGCGGATCTCGATATAAATTCCAATCCACAAAGCTGTTTAACTGACGAAGTTGGAGATGTTATTAATTGGCGTTCCCTTGAGGACAGCTATCATGGCTGTGTGGTTGGCAAAAAACTAATAAGTTCGTGTAAGCCGCTTCGAAAGAGTAAGTCGAATATTAATAAATTTTTTTGAAAATTTGAAATTAAATGGACTATACTTAGCGGTTGTAAAATGTTCGTAGGTACATAATAATTGAAAACTGGCTCGTCTGACGTCATGCATGCATCTCACTTTTTTTTACTTTAGATCCTGATTATGACTTTATCATGAAAAAACCATCATCAAACGAATTTAACATGATAAAGTTAGGAAGTATTTCAAGTCTTGAGGCTTTCACAATAACAACCTGGTTAAAACACGAAGAGAGGACGCAATATGACTCAAAATCTATGGAATATGTTAAATACCGAAGTGCTAACGGAACAAAGTTGGTGTCACTTTATTTTACTGCAGAATATTTCATCTTGAAAATAATCGGCACTTTTGCAAGGCAAGTTTTTCTGACAAATAATTTTGTCTTAATAATCCCTTTGGTATTTTCTGTTTAAACGCCATTAGACTGAAGTAGTGTGACAGTTTTTTTTCTCTATTGAAATATAACTTTTATAAGTTTTGTCTTGCGTAAATGAGGGAAGATGTCATGCGTCATATTCGCCGATTACCTCCTGGGGGATGGGTCTGGAGGAATGGGGAACTTCTAGTTAGGCTATATTTAGGAATTGTACTATTAAAGTGGTACACCAAAAAAGATCATTTGCATAGTTAAAAATTAGAAGTATTGAAATATGTTGAATTAGAAATGTATGACTGTTCTAATTCTAGTTCACAGAACTCACAATCGTACCGAAGTTAATTTGAGTATATTGCGGCAAAAACTCTTCCTTCGTTTTACCATAAAAAAACCTCTGAAACCACTAAAGCATACTTGGCACACTGATGTCTTTGCTTCGAACTAGACTCTAGCTAAAAACAGATATTAAGTGTGTTAAGATATTTAGATATTTTCATATTTATAATATGCGGCAAAATAATGACCTTTTAATTTGTCGTGTAGCACCTTAAAGACTTATTTACTCGCTTAACATTAGCCCTGTTGCACTATGCAATTGAAACTTGTCAAGCATTTCTACTTTTGAGATATGTAAATTTCGCAACTAGTAAGCTTTTAGGGTTTTACACTCCATGGACGTTTCATAGACTTACATTTTGAAGACTTTTTAGTAATTTAGCTACATCTCTTAAAAAGAAAATTACATTGCCTTAAAACGTTTTGAGAATTTTCGTCTACGCATTCGTTTTATAAATATAAGATGTCGGCGGTGAGTCGCTAGCCACGCTGGTCTAAATTAACTAAATCTCACCCCACTCGTGTAGGCTCATATATTGTCAGCGGACAACTTACATAAAATTGAGAGCAGTGTGAAGTGCGTAAAACGAAAATTTTCTAATTTTGATGCGAAGACTGCTGAAGAAGACTGAGCCCTCTGTACTGGGAGAAAATTTGCCGAATATGACCACCGTGAATTAACTAATCGTTTATTAATTTTAAAAGGAAAGCAAAGATTCCATGGCTTTGGAATGAATCTCCAGCATACTGGCACCATTTGTCTACGACATGGTCGAGCGATTCTGGCCACTGGAAGATATATCTCGATGGTTCCATGGTCTCCATTATGCATGATGTAGCTTCAAATATTACCTTTCATGCACAAGGAAGAATTTTCTTACGTAAGTGCTATGCTATTTTATTTGATAATGCTCAGTGTATGGTTGCTCAAAAGCCGGTTAACGCTGACCCAGGGTTAAAAATGCCTAACCCATCTTAAATCTGGGTTAATTTGCGTTGCTGAAAGCATTTTAGAGGCTAAAAATGGATGTAAATGTGTTCCCCAACTCGATGAAGTTCATCAATTTCGCTGAGTGATTTTACGCCATTCAACGATCAACGCCATTATTTTCTTTTAGCCGTTGGTATGATACAATGCAATAAGTTAAATATTTAACAATATTTAGTAGGCAGAAAAAATTTTGTAGGGTCGTGAGGCATTGTGGTTTTGCGTAGTTACATGCGCATAATCCATGAATTCGTCTAACTTTACCACATGTGGTTTGGCTGTAAGTTGTTTTCATATCGTGCGAAAAAAATACGAAACATATCATTTACGAGGTTATAACAAAATTCTAGAAGATCAGTTGCGATATTTCGACCAATATTCTGTTTACCATTTGCGTTTGTTTTTTTGCCTTTCTACTGTAATTTGTTTCACTATAAGTTTTAAGTAATTTGTTTCACTATAAGTTCACTCATCGATCCGTGATATAAATGTAATAATAGTACTGTCAGGACAACTCATTATTTGATCGGCGCATTCGAAATGTAGAGTTTATCAGTTTCTACTTGCTTGGATTTGTAAACTATAAAATTAAGCCACAGTTTAGTGTTTTTAAAGATAATCCACGTATACCTGTAATTGCCTAATAACATTATTGATATGTGACAGACAAATGAAATACTTAACAGAATCAAGTCGAAATCTCCTACTTTAATCTTGCGACGTGTTAATCTTGATGCTTATTTGCTTCCGTGCTGTCGAACGGATGTAAAAAGTGTGCTTTGACTCAGGGGCGGGGGAACGTGGGGGGAACGGGGGTGGCTAGGGGGGCCTTAGCCCCTCAGAAGTAAGCCCCTCCAAAAATTTCATGAAGAATGCCAGAATGGGAGATTAAATATACAAACTACGTTACCACGAAGTCGTCAAATTAATGCTCCCCGGCGTATCAAATGCTAATAAGATATCCTATATTGTGTTACGGATCAAGTGAATGTGAATTGACTTTCTTTGATCTTTCATAGTTGTCTTTTACAGCAGAATATTCGTGGTTGTATATTGTTAGTATTTCCGGACCGCCATTTTGTTTGGAAGTTATTTTGAGAATTTGAGAGATGATTTTTCAAATGTAATATTACTAATATATCACTACACGCGCTGTGCCGTTTTCAGATTGTGTTTGCTCATGAAAAACTACGATGAAAGCGGCAAGTAAGAATCTGAAATGACCATTTCCTGAAGATCTAGAGCATTGAAATTCCAAAAAACTTGCCCCCCAAAAAAATGTTATGTTCCGCCGCCTCTGCAGTTTAACTGCCCTGTGTTTCTAAGAGTAAGATCACACGTAGACACGTGAGAGAATTTAAAAACAATGCGCAAACAACTGCACGCAACCACTGACAATGCCCTTCGATCCTAAAAATTTCCTTTTTTACTGCCTTCTGCTGGAAAAATCACACTATTTTTTATTTTTACTGTATACATATCCTGCGATAACATTTAATTACAGGAAAAAATTTATAGGAACGTGAATTATATTTAGAGCAATTAAGTTCAGGATTTCTTCTAGCATAATTAAAATTGAAAAATCAAACTATAAAGGGTAAGAATACGTAGAATACCACCGGTGAAATTGTAACAAGTCGTATTCTTGTCATAGCCTATGTAGTTTTTATTTATAGTGCCCACAGAAACCCCTACCTTGCAGGTACACTAGTATGGTCACTTGAATTTTAGATGGTGGTATGGTGCACAATAGCCATCAAAGTAGACTTAATGTTTGGAGCTATGAAATTGATGGCCATGCTTTATCATTAATGGCAAACAAAGGACCATTGTTTGAAAACGGTAACGTCTTCGCGTGGTATGGAATAAAGTCCAAGGTTGCGGCAAGCACAGTCTTCCAAGAAACCTCGAGTGATCTACACCACTCTCGTAAGTATGACCTCTCCGAAGGCCATGTTTCCCAGAAACGAATTGAAACGAATGCATTCATAAGGAATTTATTAAGTTAAGCTCCAGTAGGTCATCAGTGAAAATGACTGCAGGATTAAAACATTTCATTCACTTTATACCGATATGCGGATTTAAACCAAAATGTATGCATAATCCAAACATACCCTATGAAAAACGTTTGTCTAAACGTTTGTTCTCATATTTGTACCATCAATAGGTTCTATAATAATCTTCGTATTAAAATGTGATTAAAATTGGGTTGAAATTAACTGGAGATAATAAATTAAAACAGAACAAAGACAACAGCTCGATATTTTGGGCGTTGAACGAAAATATTTATTAACGAATGATACTGAATTGCCTTTAGGCTGGTAAGATTATAGACTGTAATAGCAAAGCTGGGGAAATATTAAATCCGCAGCCGAAGACAACAATAGGGAACTCTAGCAGCGACTACGAGTACGACTACGAGCATATACGAAATTCGTCATTCTTGCGCGTTGTTTGCATACACCATCAGGCAAATCTCGTAGTCGTTCCATATTCGAGTACGATATTTGATAAAAAACTCGTACTCGAAAGCTCGGCGACTACGTTTTTTAGCTGATGGCGTACGCAAACAACACGCTAGAATGACGAATCTCGTACTCGTAGTCGCTGCTAAATCTTCCTATAATAGTAAAAATACTGAGGATGATAGCTCATCATTAATATCGTTATGAATGCTGCCATTTCATTTCCCTCCCAAACGTCAGTCGTTTGACCTTTGCGAAATTTCAACCACTTTTTCCAGTCCGTTGCCGTTTAATTTCCTCTTGTGACTCTAAAAATCCAACACCCACAGAAATGTCAAGTTGAACGTTAACTGTTGCGAATATTATCACAAAATTGAAAATCAAATTTCATAAAAATGTCTTGGGCGAGACAGGCCAAATGAATAATTATCAACTTATCAACTTTTCTTGCTAGGGTCGGTGTCTGTATACCAGATGGATTTTCCCTCCGCTTCAAAAGAGAACTACGTATTAATAAAAGACGTTGTGCATGAAGCAATCACGGTCTTCTCCCTTTGCTTTTGGGCAAAATTTTTGCGCACATATGCTGGCGTATTTGTCTACTCAAGTACAAAGCATGATGCAGAAATTGGGGTCTTTTTATTCAATGACTTTGTATTGGGCCTCTCTATCAAGCAATCCGGGAAAAACGGGTTAGTAATCAATATAAAAAATCATGCACAACAAAATATTAGCTACCCTATAGAAAGCAATTACATTACATAATCCATATTACCCAACACCGAAATAAAGACAAAAAGTTCGACATTATAAAATTTAATTACGCAAATCCGGAGATTTGATCAACCTCCGGAGATTATTCAGCAATACTTTGTTATTCGCGAAAGTGAGTGCAATTAAGTGAGCTTCAGCAGCAAAGTAAACTTCCGAACCGTAAATGAATCAATAATTATTACCGTGCATTAAAACGAAATTCTGAAGAATGTTTACGAATTACGTCTGATTTGTTCTCTTTTCGACTCCTGCTACACAAAAATCATGATGTCCCGGACGCACAGAAATGCGAAATAGTTCATTATACGTTAACTATTGCGAATCTTCATCACAACATTGTAAAATCAGATCTCATACTCGACGTACAATCCTGGTGAAAACATTGACGACACTACGTGTGTTAATTGACACTGTATACAGTCAGCAGCCATAGAATACATTTCAAAATTCTCTCCCTTTCCTCCAAAAATAAATGTTGGGTGATGTCTCAAAACTCATTCAAGCATTTAGCATGGACTCAACATTGATTAAGGGGGGGGGGGGGGGCGAAGGGGAAAATCGACACAGAAACGTTGATGTTTTGTGTAAAAAATTCAAAATCATTAGAGTGCATGAATGGTTTTGGCCAGAATTGTAGGCCTGCCCGAGAAAGGCCTCGATTAAATTTTATAGTATTTTATGTATTTAAGGGCTGTGATTTCCAGCCACACATCATGGCATTTTTATTGCCTGCAGTGGAGAAGCAGTGATGGTTTAGTCCAGACTTATCAAGACGGAAAAAACCTTGGGACGAGAATCGAATCGTCAGGTTACACAATACCCTCTAAAGGCATCGTGGTTCTTGGCCAGGAATTGGATGGTTATGGCTCGCGTTTTAATACCAATGAGGCATTTCAAGGAAGCCTTGCAGGGTTAAATCTCTGGAGCCAATTTTTGACAGCAAATATTATACAAGGAATGGCATCAGGGGTCCTAAATGTTAACGGAAATCTTCTCCAATGGAGAAATTTCAGAAATCATACATTTGGTATCGTGACTGTACGACATGGATCCGAAGTAGAGATTCCAGGTACCTTGTGATATAATCTCATTTTTATTTATTATTTTAGTTGCAATGAATAAGCAATGCATGACTTCGAAACAGTATTTCTTTTCCGTTCCTCGTCAGAGACACGATTGTCAGCCATTCTTGACAAAATGCAAACTCATGTGTGGGATCACAGATGGTCATTTTTCTAGCATCACCAGAAAAAAAACAGCAAGAAAGACACCAGGAGCCGGTGGTATGAAACCCAGTTAGTGCTATCAACCAGTAGTGATTTTTTCAACAGTTCTAAAAATGCTCGAAAAGCGATAAAATTTCAGCTTTAGAAACAACACCTAATAAAGAGGATCTGTGATTTAGGAATACTAAGATTTAATCAAAATGATAGCAAACAACGGGTGATTTTAAAGCGATGAATAAATAGCGCTATCCGTCTTTCATACAATCGGCCCTAGTGTTATGTAGCTTTTTTTTCTATTTACGCGAGGTAAGAGATCTTTACAACGTTTTACTAAAGTTCAATAATGTACTCTTCTTTTTCCGTTCTTCTCTTCTCTTCGGATTCTTCGTACTTTCGGACCTCGTTGTTTTCTGTTCTTGTCTTTGGTTGTCTGTCTTGTAAGGTTGAGCTTCTTAACGTTTCATATGCTTTTTACTCCGCTAGTCCACTCCTTTTAGTCCACTCTCGTGTTTAGCCCACTGAAGTTTCTGTTGCTGTGCGCCTCCTTTTATAATAAAATTTGAGGGGATCTTGAAGACGCCCTGTGCAAGGTGGTGTGATTCACACAATCCAATCAGCGTTGTAGGTTGTAAATGTGGGTTGGCGTTAGAAGCTTGGTCCAGCTCTCATACTTTGTTTACTTAAGGCCGGTGACGCACTAGTCAAGTTGGTCTTTTACTTAATCGATCACTGTTAAAACTTGTTGACAACTTAAAATATTTATCATCAACTTAAAGTACAATTATCAACTTATTACTCTGTGAACCGTATCTCAACTTATAAACTATTTTACAAATAATTTCATCGAATTAAACTTTACATACATACATACATACACTTTATTTAAACACGGAAGGAAAACCATCAGTACATTTGATATTTAAATATTTACAGTCTAATTTATATATAAATAAAGAGAGTATCGTGGGAGTACTGTTCTACCTGGTTGCCGTGTGGGAGTCGGTTGAACTAGAATATAGAGATTCCAGTCTACTTTTAGCGATAATCTAGAGGATTCAGGCAAGCTGTTCCAAAGAAATGCTCCGCTATAAGAGAAGGAGCGCTTTAAGTAATTAGTGTTAGGTTTAGGAATAAACAACTTGCCATAGGAATTCCTAAGAGCATACTGCCCCCTTCTAGAGACGAACATGTCTTGTAGGTATTGAGGTGTTTGACCATTAAGAATTTTGTACATGAGTATGGCCTTCTGTTTTTGACGGTTGAGTGATAAATTATTCCACTTTAGCTTATGAAGAAGGACATTGGATGATACATCATATGAAGAACATGTTATGACGCGTGCTGCTCTATTTTGTAGTCTCTGAACTCGATCACTTAAAGTAACTCCGAGTCCGTCCCATACTGGGGCGCAGTAGGAAAAATAAGGTTCAATAAAACCTTGGTAGATCTTAATTGCGGTTTCCTGATTCATTAGCCCTCTAGTACGTTTGAGTGCACTAATTGCAGACGAAACTTTTTTAGTAATCACGTCAACATGGTTAGTCCATGTAAGATGTTCATCTACGGTCAAACCTAAAGTTTTGGCGGACTCAACTTGTTCGATTGGTTCATTATCCACAGTTACACAAAAGTCATGATCATCAAAGGTTGCTAACCGTTGTCGAGAACCGATGACCATGAATTCTGTTTTAGCAATATTTAAACTTAACTTATTTGCTATTAACCACCGTTTTAGGTTTAAGAGATCAAAATTCATGAGGTTTTCGAGCTCAAAAAGATTATTACTCTTGAAACTTATATTGGTGTCATCAGCGAACATTCTAGGAAAACCCTCGTTCAAGCAATTCGGTAGGTCATTGATATACACCAAGAACAAGAGAGGCCCTATGATAGAGCCTTGGGGAACCCCTTAGATATGGAAGAGCTAGACGAGTATTTGCCGTTGACGAAGCACTTTTGCTTTCGATCAGTTAAATAAGATCGAAACCACGCTAGCGCGAGATCGTCAACACCATAGACTCTAAGTTTTTCCAATAGAATGCATGATCAATAGTATCGAAGGCTTCTTTAGATCGATAAAAACTACGCCATTAAGAAGACCCCTGTCTATATTGACACACCACTCATTCGTTGTTTCTAGCAAGGAGGTTAGAGTGCTATGAGATGCTCTAAAACCAGATTGATAAGTATTAATTAAATTATTAGCTGATAAATAACTATAGAATTGATCATGTACGAGTCTACCAAAGACCTTAGCAATTATAGAGATAATTGAAATCGGTCGATAATTGTTAAGATTATCTTTCTCGCCACTTTTAAAAATAGGCAGCACTCTAGCCATCTTCCAATCGTCTGGGTAGATTCCCATATTAAGTGAGCGGTTGAAGATGGCAGTTAGAGAAGGAGACAAAATATCAGAAGCAATCTTCAAAACCCTACCAGGAATATTATCCGGGCCGGTTGCTTTGTTAGAATTAATAGATTTAAGAGTTTCAGTTACAGTCTCCACGTTTAAAACGGTAAAGGAGAATGAACTGTTGGTAGAATTGATATAAGAAATAGGATCTATATCAGAGGAAGGTATTTCGTTTGCAAGACTTACTCCTATCGTGGTAAAGTACGAATTAAATGCATTAGCTATATCGTGAGAGTTTGTTATCTCTACATCTTTTTGCCTAATACATTTTACATTTGTGGAGTCGTGAACTTTGCGCGAAGACAGCTCATTAATGAGTTTCCAAGTTTTTTTAGGATCACTTTTAGCCGAGTTAATACGATCCATGAAATATTGGCGCTTAGTGTTCTTGATGAGCTTAGTAACTTCATTTCGAGATTTTTTATATTTAGTCCAAATTACGTCATTGGGATTTTTATCAAATCGTTTTTTTAAGGAATCCCTTTCACGTATTTTGCTAATTACTGTGGAGTTAATCCACTGCGATTTATTGCATCTAAGCCTTTTTGTCTTAATTGGTGCATGAATATCTAATACAACCGAGAATCTAGAAAGCCAAGCTATCCACATATTATTAGGGTTATCAAATGAGCGAATATCAGACCAGTTAATTTCGCGTAAGTCATTCAGAAATTCATCATCGTTGAAATTTTTAAATTGCCTCTTAGTTACCGAATGATTTACACCAACTGCTTGCCAATTAGATTTTCGTATTAGATAGATGAGAGAATGATCACTTATACCCCTTTTAGTGACGCAAGGCTTCAAGCGCTTAACCTAGCAAAATATGACAAAGAAATGATTGACATAAACTAGTGTCCGCCTAGAACTTATGGTCTTGAGTCGTGACACTTGTACTTTGCACAACATACTATTGTTTCGGAGGAAATCCCATGGGCTGTGACCTTATGACAGGAAAAGTAATTTTGTGATTCCGAATGGTCATAATAATATATACTTTACACTTCATTTTATATGACGTGTTCCCAAAGTAAGTTCCCCGTCGATATTGACCTTGTGTTTTTTAACAATGCTAAATTACATTATATTTTCGCATTTCGTAACACAAACTTTCAGAAGTAGAAATATGCTTCATAATTCTTTCAGAATATCGAGTACAGAGTCTTCGAGATAAGTGGTGTGCGAAAAACATCACTGAAGTTTTCACTTATGCAAGATTTGTTTTCGGTCCGGACACAGATGGCTACAAGTGGCGGTGTGTTGCACCTGCGGCCATGTTGGATGAAAATATGTGTTACAATATCACTAAGAAGTCATCTTTGTACTATCCCATGGACACGAACGAAGACATTTTCGGAAATAATTGAAAAATATTTCCTTGACATAAATAACTTTGATATACGTATAAATTGGTCCCAATATAACATGCAGGGAGCAGCGTGGCAGCGTCTTCGAACATGCAAATTCGCGTCAAATCAGGTATAACAACTGCCTTTAGTAACTGCATACTAACTCTCCTGATGAAAGCCCTCAGGTCGAAACGTTGAGAAGTATTTTGTCTATTTTAGGCAGTCGTTATACTACATTTGATGCTACGTAAAAATAGGTAAAATAGATGGGATGTATTTAAAGTTAATATGTTTTGTCCCGACTGTCGGTAATAATTTTGTAAATGCTTAATGCATGCAATTACCAAATATTTTGGGTTAGAGCTAGGGTCATCCGATTGAATTTTTAACCGTGTGAATTACTATGCAGACGCACAACGAAATTTTGCACTACGCACTCTTCGCACTGTGGTTTTTGGATCGACGCACTAAGACGATAATTTTCCACAAAGGTTAACATCCACACAAAGTCCTTCGTATATAGTTACGATTACATAATAAAAATATTAAAATGGAATTGATTAAGCTTTGATCAAAATAAACGAAATCTTTTTCTTTGTGTATTATGTTGCATGAATCCAAAGAGCGCGAACTTTTTAAGAAATCAGTTGGGGGGTCGGAGCAGTAATATTAATGGCACTTTCTTATTATATAGAGCCATTTATACAACTCTTGAATAAGACGCGTCGAGCTGTCCGTTTATATAGCTGCTAACCAGCCAAGCCTGTCTTACATATGACGCATCTTAACTAAGTTATTGAACAAGCATTTTGAATAATTTATACGGCGAAATCGCGTCTTATTTAAGTCGCGTCTTATATAAGTTGCGATTTATTTTTCCTCCTATAGTTATTATATTGATGAAAATTTCCCGAAATTTACCTAAAACTAAACCAAAAATGAAGGCTTTTATCGCTATTATGATATCGATTGATCCAGTCGCTTTACAGTTTACATGGTGTATAAAAAGCTGCCAGTATTCATGAATATCCCCTTTCTTTTCTATTACAAAAGATCGTAAGCCCCTGGGAATACGCGATGTTTGCAATTATACATGCAGGGTGTCTCAAAAAAACAAAAACTGAAGTCACTCATTGTTAAAATTTGAATGCCGTGTTCACGAATTTAAGCCCGTGGGGATTTAATGCAACTTATGTATAACATGATAAATACGAAAAATTTGAAATTGTGAATATGATTAAATTTAAATTAGCCTGACCGCGTAACAACGAGTGTTTATTGTGATATTATAGGCATTAAAACTGCAACAATTATGAGTGATTTCAATAGTTTTTTTTGAGACTCCCTGCAGAGCAGATGGCACGCGTGCCAGAAACCACTCAAAACGCCACCGCAAATTAGAGGAACTTCCATGGGAACTTACGCGGTTACGCCAACCATCAGGAGTAGCGCTAACGACAGAGCAAAGAGTTTTCATTGTTTTGCATCACACAGAAACTCACAATACAGACGAAGTATAAAACGCATTTTATCGACGGTTCCCTGATCGAAATTCGCCGCTTAAATCAACCATTATGTACCAAAAACGTCCAAAAGCACTCTACCGAGGAAACGAGCCTAAATCGCAACAAAAGCAATTCGGGTCGTCGCAGAATATCAACACGATGTGCAACCGGCAAATATTGCTGCTGTTTGAGATTTACTTGAAGATTGCCCACACATCAGTGCCTGTCGCAATCCTCTGGTTGTTTCGTGGCTAAACATAGCTATAAAGCTATATAATGTTCTAGGCCTTTAATGGTAAAAGAATCATCCACCACTTACGCATTTTTCACGCTACTTACTTGCGCTTTAACAGTTGGATTTCAGTCATTCGGATTACGTTACATAGACAGTTAAAAAACAATTCAGCAAAAGCTTGTCCTAGCCAGCTTGCCGTCCGCACGAACCCCGGGGACGCAATTTGATTAGCTACGTATTCAATAATAGATTGTGATTTGTTAATGCGATAAATTAATAATGATTGTGATTCAAATAATGATTGTGATGCATGACGTTAGACCGCAAAACTGGGTCTTCGCTAAAGCGAATCTTCTCTTCAATTGAAGAAACAGTTTCGGTAGGGCGTGGGCGTTTTAGTGCTTGTTCTGTCCCGTTTGTCCAGGGCCGAAACTAGAACGATAATTGGGGGGTGTTTATTCATATATTCAGTTCTGCCCGACGGATTTCCATTGTGAGCTATTGCACTTACAAAAGAAATCCGTAGGGCAGAACTGAATATATGAATAAACACCCCCCCATGCAATTATCGTTCTAGTTACGGCCCTGCGTTTGTCTACAGTCGTGGTTCTCTTTCAGGCGTTCTTCAATGTCAGATATTTGTGATATTAATCCACGCCGCTTCTTTAGAGCGTTCACACAGCATCGTCATATGTACTGGCTCCGCTCCAAGTCGACAGTGAACGGCAAGCTCTCTCGTTCAGACTGTATTATTTCCTTTACTCGTTCAGACTGTATATTTCCTTGAACTAAATAATATATATATCTTTCGCTCGGCTAAACGTTTATTGGCAGAGGACACAACTCTGCAAACTTGCCGAAATTACAATGATACAATGATTTACATATATTCCGATGGCGCATAATTTCACACAAAATATCCGCATTGGCGAAGTAAGCTGCAACAAATTGCAAACAAATTATTTCGACGAATAAATTATAGAACATGGATTTCGGCCCCGATGCGCAGACGCTACATTACAATAATTCGATTTATGCAATAATTCGATTTATAAGATATTACAATAGTGTAATAAACGTTATAAATATTATTGGTCATACCTGACATTTTTTCAGTAATACTAAATTATATACTATTATTATTATTATTATTTAAAAATATTTAAACACGGTAACCTTTCAGTTAGCCTGATTTTCAAAGGGCCGTGTATCACACGCATGCAATTAAAAAGAACTAAAATACATTACAGAAATATACAAATATAACTATACATATACATTTCGTGTTGGGTCAAGTGTCGTCAAGAATACGTTTAAATTTTTTAGTACTTATGCCTAATTCTTTCGCTTCATTGGATAAACCATTCCAAAATGATGCAGCTGAGTAACTGAAACTTTTTTTCATGAAATTTGTTTTAGGTTTCCCAAGATCGTAATCGTTATAGTTGCTTCTTAGATTATATCTATCGTTGCTTTTTATTTTGAACATGTTAGAAATTGATGATGGATTTTTTTGATTTCGCATTTTGTGCGAAAGATTTGCTTTGTTGACATTGTATCGTTGATTTAAAGGCTTCCAGTCCAATTCCTTTAGGACATCTTCGCTACTAACTTCGTATGTTTTACCAGTTATGACGCGAGCTGCTCTATTTTGCAATTTCTGAAGTCTATTTTTTAAGTATTCACAACAGTTATCCCATACAAGGCTACAATAGTCAAAGTGTGATAACACAATAGCATTATAAATTTTTATTAGAGTTGATTTTGGGACAAACTTTTTTATTCGTCGCATCATTCCTATTCCTCGTGAAGCTTTGGTGAAAATGTGTTGGATTTGATGGCTCCATGAAAGATTTTGGTCAATTATAACACCTAATGTTTTTGATTTTTGGACCTGTTTAATAACTGATTCGCCGAGTTCAATTTTAGGATTTGATATTAGATTTGAAATTCGTTGTCTTGAGCCAATAATCATATATTCAGTTTTATTTTTATTGAGTGTAAGTTTGTTTGCAAGTAACCATTGATGCACGTTTTCTAAGTCAGTATTTAGGTGTTCTTGTAATTCTTCACTAGTCTTGCCACTGGTTGAAATATTTGTATCATCTGCAAACATGCTTGCCGATGATGAAGTTAGACAATTTGGCAGGTCGTTTATATATAATAGAAACAAAAGTGGTCCAAGGTTAGATCCTTGAGGTATTCCGCATTTAACAGTTCTTGGTTCAGATAATATTTGATCTACCTTGCACATTTGAGTTCTATTAGAAAGATAAGACTGGAACCAGGCGAGCGCGTGATCCCTTATTCCATAGCAATGCATTTTTTTAAATAATATGTTATGGTCAACGCAATCAAACGCCTTCTTAAGATCCAAAAAAATCACTCCATTTAATAAACCCTTGTCCATATTCATTAGCCAGTGGTTTGTATTATTAAGTAGTGAAGTTTGAGTAGAGTGATTTTTCCTAAATCCTGCTTGTTGTTCTACTAGTATTTCATTAGTTTCAAGAAAAATTTCTAGTTGTTCTGTGATAAGTCTGTCAAGTATTTTAGCAACAGAAGATAAAACTGAAATTGGCAGATAAAACTGAAATTGGCGTGCTATAGTAGTGCTATATTGTTTTTAAAAACACTTTGGTGAAATTACTGCTGTCGTGTCCCCGTCAGTAACGTGGAACAAAGCGATATTGGTTCAAAAATATTTGGAACAGTCAGGTTGGCCGAGCAGTCAAAGGCGCCAGACTTATGCCGGTTTTCCACTAGCGATATTTTTCGCGCGAAGCGACTTTATTCCTTTGTATTTGAGCAATTTGTTCCGGATGGTTGCAGTTTAGAGCTCTGGAACAAAAGTAAAATATCGCTTCGCGCGAAAAATATCGCTAGTACTATAGTGGAAAACCGGCTTTAAGATGGTGTACGAGTTCTACAGCCTAGTTCAAGGCCTCTCATTGCGTGTGTTTTATATTTCCGTGACGTCACCGAATGAAACGCGCGCGAGAGGCTTAGCACAAAATGTTTTCCAATATGGCGGAAGCAATCGCAGCGATGGGGGAGTACGCTAAGTATTTAGAGAGCAATGTAAGTTTCTAAATATTTTTTACATAGCTCAATTAAGACGCCACTGCCATATTTTTATATTTTTATACATCTCGCTATTTATAGTAAAAATCAGACCCTTGATGCAGTTACTTCTGCAAAATTAATGTTGATATCAACATTTGCAGAAGAAAACTGCATAACGACACGTAAGGACGAAACTCCGTAATGTCAATAACAACTTAAGTAACAGACGTTCCCAACTTGGCCTTGTAGCTCAGACGCTAGAGCATCGTTTTAGAAATGCGAAGGTCGTGGGTTCGATTCCCACCGCGGTCAAGTAGAATTTCTGCTTGCCCGGTTGGTTATACTTGTGTAGAAAGAACATATAAAAACACATATCATATATATATATATATATATATATATTATATAATTATATATATATTATATATATATATATATATATATATAATATATATATATATATAAAAATATACAAGGCCAATTTTTTGGACATATCTTAAGGCCGGCAAACACTAGAGCTATGTGCTTATCAAAAAGTCATTCGTGGCCATTGGCGTAAGCCAGTTGCTCTCGTGTGCGGGCGACTTTTCAGGCAACTTTTGTCATTCGTACCAGTTACGGACTTACGGCAAATATCGGCATGTTTGATAATTTCTGCCTCGCCTGCCGAAATCTTTCCGTGTGCGGCAAACTGAGAGCTATCTGCTTATGGATTGTTTTAACAGCGCATGCGTAATATACGAA